ACCTCTTTTAACAAAGAACATATAGGGTCATTGTGAAATTGACAATTGTAAGATGGGCAGGGTTAAACGTACTCCGGATCACAACCATGTTACAGTAAAGTGGCTCAAAAAGATTCAAAACAATATTTTAAAAAATTAAAAAATCGTTTTGACATTTTTTTTGAATTGAATATTTTAATATGACTCTTACTGTGCTATATTTTTGAATTTAATAAATTTAGATTAAAATATACAGTGTGTTCCATTTACAAAAATGTTGCCTTTTTGAAATTTTTTTGAATCTTGAACCCTTTTTTTTAATTTTTTGCGAATCATTTCTCTTTCTTTAGATTAATATACACAGTTCTTTATTTAAAAAATGAGGTTAGGTCCGATAATTTTTTTTACTTGACTTTGTATACTCAATTTGAAAACAGCAGATTATTCAACAATCATTATAAACAAACTTTTGTAATAAACATTTCTCTTCATCTAAGAACATAATTATAGGGTCATTGTGAAATTGACAATGGTAAGATGTTAGATGGGTAGGGTTAAATGTATTCTGCTGATTTTACGTTACAATGTAATATTGGTTCAAAAAAATTCAAAACGATGTTTTGAAAAATTCAAAAATCTGTTTGAATTTTTTTTCAATCATTTGAACCTTTTTTTAATTTTTGTTTGTTTGAATCACTTTCTTTTTCTTAGTTTTAATCTCATCCCCTGGTGGCGTCATATTGAAATTGTCACTTTTGATTGTTCTTGTGGTATACGTGTGTGTAAACCATGTGCGCCCTGTACAGGGTGTCTCATTTTCGACACTGATTATACAGGGTAATTGTTGCTGCTATCACAAAAAAGTAATGTAGGCTCTTGGGTCAAACTTAAAATGGTAAAACCAGAATTGAAAATATTCGCTTGCTTAAGAGATACAGGGGAAACTCAAAAAATTGTATATTTTGGAATGACTATATTTTTTTAGTTCAGAAAAATGTTTCTTATAAAAGTTTGTTTATAATGATTGTTGAATAATCTGCTGTGTGAGTATACAATCGTTTTTGAAATGGAACACCCGGTATATTTTAATCTAAAAAGATAACATATTAAATACACTATTCAAAAATATCACACTGGGAATGATATTAAAAAAAGATTCAAGTGATTAAAAAAGGAATTCAAAAAGATTTGAAAAGGGAATGCTATCTTTTTAGAATAAAATATACAAGGTGTTCAATTTAAAATTTTTATTTTACCATTTTAAGTGTAAAATTGTTTGTAGAATCAAAAAATGTACAGGGTGTACCATTTAAATTGTGAAATTTAGTCATTTCCAGTTAAACCAGTTGTGCTAGGAAAATACGATTCAATTAATTTATATTTGTACACCGAAATCGATATCGCCAATTTTACCAAAGCTACGGGGGGTGGAGGGGGGGCCTTTTTGAAAAGATTATTCACTCTTTATTTTTGCTGCTTCCTGCAATAATTTGCGACTCATCCTCACACAATTTTTTAAATTTCAGAACACATGTCCGCATTCACACAGGCGACCGGCCTTACGTCTGTCCGTTCGACGGATGCAACAAGAAATTCGCCCAATCCACAAATCTCAAGAGTCACATATTAACACACGCAAAGGCCAAGTGAGTACGCGACGTTTTTTCTTTTTAAACTTCTCTAAACCGTCTCCCTCTTCCCCAGATCCAGAAACTCGATGGGCCGTTCCAACAGCAACACAATGCAAATGCTTCAGCCGCAGTTCGTGCAGGTCGAGGTCGCGGACGTCGATCAACCCTACATCGTGTACGCCGATTAATTTTATTCAGATCAGTGACGACAGTGCTGTTAAACGAAGAGACTGTATTGCAATTCTGGAGAACTGAAATAGTCAACCAAATACATAATCGTTCGCGATCGGAGAGTTCCCACACAAAAAAAAAAGGGGGGGGGGGGAACTTTGTTCATTTTTATATGTCGCGGAACTGTTTTTAAACATATTTATTGGACGTAGTGATTTTTTTTTTAAATTGTATTTAGGGTTAAGTACAAAACTCATTTTTTTAAGGATTTCCAAGTGAAAAATGTGATTTTTTTTTGTTTTTAGTTGGTACCTTTGTAATCCGTTTTATTTTTTTTTGTTAAAGAAAGAAAGATAGAACTAAATTGATAGTATTATTGATAATAAAATTAGTTCTTTCGTCTTTTGCCATCGTGATAACTGATAACTAAGCACTTATTGTAAAAACATGAACCACATTTTCCTAATGTACATAAAATAAATAATTTTTCAGTATAAAATTGTCAACTTTATCATTACACCCTGTATATAAAGTGACATTCAAATATAGTCCCTATGTTAAGCAGTGGTAATGGTAAGACTTGCGTGAAGGTCGCACGTCACGTTTCTTGACGGAATCCAGTTCTCCGTGAAAAGTTGAGGCGACATTCACACGGGCAAAATTTGATTTGTTCATTTCTTCGCCATTAAACATGCAAAAAAAAGCCCTGTCGTTTTTTGGCGATTCTGAGTTAAATAGAGCTCGGAAACGTCCGTGACGGGTCTTTACCTTTCTAAAATTTTGATCCGCACGCGTCGGGAGCCTTTTGACACCGTGAAAAGGCGTCTATTCCAGAAAATGAAAATTTTCCGCCATTTTAATAAAAAAATTAAACTTCAAACTGACGGGCGGGTCCATGTTGAGAAAAACGGAGGTGGGTCCGCAGTCTGGGCGCTATTTTTACGAAAATGCGACAAGCCCACGAGGTTGTTTTTTCGCATAGCAATGCCGCTAGAAAATTAAGAAATTCTAAAAAATCTGAAATATCCCAACAATTTTAGAAAATGTAAGAAATTCTAAAAAAATACTAAAACATCTAAAGAAAAGCTGAAATACCTACCTACAAAAAAATTTTTTTTAATTCTGGAAAATTTAAAAAAAGAGCGTTCGGATAGGTAGTCAGAAAAAAGATGTGAAAACTTGCAACTTAAACGAGCGACCATTTTAGTAACAAAAAGTTAAATTTGGTCGTTCAACATGTAGAGCTTTACTAAAAATGTACACAATCGATCTTGTGATTTTTTTAAATTTTTGGGTAATTGAGACTTTGGGAATTTAGGATCTTTGAAATTAGAGGCTTTGGAATTATATTTTTGAAATTCTGAGAGTTTTTGGGATTTTTAAAAATCGCGAGAGTTAGAATTTTTGTCAATTTTAATAAAACTTTGTAACGAAATTTCGGGAATTTGAGATTTTTTAATCTTTTTCATATTGAAAATTTTTAGAATGTTGGAAATTTTAGGGTAGGATATTTAATTTTTTTCTTAAAATGTTGATAATTTGAAATTAGGGAATTTTCGATAATATTGGGAATATGTGGATTTTTAGATTTTTTTAATTTGAATTATCGGGAGTGAGATTTTTGGAATTTCAGATTTTGGGATTTTTGAAATTTTGAGAATTTTAATTTTTGTGAATTTTAAAGTATAAATTTCGGGAATTTGAGATTTTTAATTTTTTTGTTTAGAATTTTTGTGTGGAAATTTCAGCCCTTTAAGATCTTTGGGATTTTGCCGATTGGAAATTCTAGAATATTCTAGCATTTTAGAAATTTTTGTAAATTTGGGATTAAGTTGTATGGATTTTGGAAAGTAACGAAATTACCAATTTTGGAATATTGGATTTCTGAAATTTTGACTCTATGAGATTTTAGGAATCCCAGATTTTGAATTTTTGAGATTTCGGGAATTAGGTTTTGGGATTGTATATAAAGGGAATTTGAAATTTTGGGGTTGAGGTCTTGTGATTTTAGGAATTTAGAGGTTTCAGAATTATATTTTGGAATTTTTTTAATTTTGTGTATATAAGATTTTAGGAATTTGGGATTTTTGAAATTTAGAGTTGGATTTTGGGATTGTTTAAAGTAAGGGAATTTGAAATTTTGGGCTTACAACGTCTTCTGAATTTGGAAGTTTTGGGTATTTGAGATTTTGGGATATTTCAGATTTTGGGATTTTTTAATTACTGGTAATTTGATTTTTGGTGCGTTTTAAACTTTAGGACCTTTGAAATTTCGGGAATTTGAGATTTTTAGATCTTTATAACATTTGAGATTTTTAGAATGTTGAAAATTTTTGATAAAGATTTTAGATTTCTCGAAATTTTTAACAATTTGAGATGTTCAGAAAATTCGAAAATTTGAGATTTAAGATTTTCGATATTAGCGGAAGTCTAGATTTTGGGATTTTTGAAATTTTTATAAATGTTGATATTTGAAATGTGAATATGAGATTGCTGGAATTAGATTTACGGATTTTTGATAATTTTGAGCATGTGATATTTTGGGATTGTTTAAAGTAGGGGAATTTGAAACTTTGGGCGTACGAGATTTGTGGTTTTTGAGAATTTTTGGGAAATTTAGGATCTTTGAAATCGGAGGTTTGAGATTTATATTTTTGAAATTTTGAGAATTTTAATTTTTGGGATTTTTGAAATTGCGAGAATTTGAATTTTTGTGAATTTTAAACTTTGGGACTTGAAATTGAGATATTTATTTTTAGATTATGAAATTTTGTGAATTTCATATATTTTAAATTTCAGGAGTTAGCATTTGGTACTTTTGAAAATTAGCGCATTTAAAATTTTGGGATCATCGGATTTTCCAAATTTTAGTCACGAAATTTTGGAATTTTTGAAATTTCAGGTACCTATTAGAATTAGAAATTTTGGGATTTATGAGATTTTGGGATTTTTTAAATTCTGGTTGAGATTGGGATTTTCGAAATTTTGGGTATTTGATTTTCTGGAATTTTTTAATTTATAGCGTGCGAAGAAAAGGAGATACAAAAAAGCTTATAACCCTCGCGCCTCTTAAAGTTTATCCATTATGTTGTTGATTATCGGTTATCTAACAAATTCTATAAACATTCTAAAATCTGTTTTTCTGGCATATCTTTGAAAGTAATGGAAATGTTTTGATTTTCTTTAAAGCGTGATAATAAGCCTTAATTACGCATCTTTTTTCTAATTTGACCGTCGTCGTATCTTCCATGGTTTCGGAGACCCCTATGGTTGACATCCTTACCTTTGGCACACTGTATAAAGCATTATGTGGGAATTAGAAGAATCCAAATAATCGAAAAGATATGAATAAATTGGAAAAAAAACGTAGCAGTTCAAAACAACTTAAGGATCTGCAACGTCGGATAGGAGAACTTAAAAAACAAATCAATTTGAAGAAACAAAAGTATCATAGAAGATGTTGCAAAATTTTACCAACTTCAAGCATCGATGGAAGTTGATAATATAAAATAAAGAAAAATCAAAAAATGTTGATATGCTAAATAAATAATTTAAAGAATATATATGTATATGAAGAATTCAAAAACAGAAGAATAAGAAGCATCTGGAAAGATTGAGGAGAAGAAACATCCTGAACTGGATGATGTATCTAAAGCGGTTTTAGGTTTGGACGAATTTGATAAATACAACTGAAAAACTTGGAGAAACCGAAGGATAAAAAAAATCCAAGCAATCTCATAAATTGGAATCTATAAATATATTCACATTTATTCAGATGGGTTCACACTGTATGTAAAAAAACATGGCAACACTGTCTTGATATTTTAGTGGCAACGCAGGCAAAGCGCCATCTGGTTTATTATGATTTGAAATTATACAATTTATTTATTTACAAAAAACATATGATCCGCCGTGAGCTCTCCGTTGATACCGATAAAATCAAATGTGCACAGAGGTCGACGTGTTCATAACAAACTACACGTTGGTCGATCCCGACATTTACCAGCTATGGATAGATGGTCGTACAGGTAAATCGCTTGTCTCTCGTTCGTATCCACCTTTAGGCTCGCACTCGTTTCAGCCAGCGAAGCCGTAGCTATCTTAAATCAGCAGGGCCTCGGCCAACAAACCGGCGCCTCGCTCGAGCTGATCGCGAGCGATGTCCTCGACCATTATCGTACCTATTCACTGTTGGAGAAGCTTCTCACTCATCCGTCGAAGTTACAGGAACAGTTGGCGTTTCAAATTGAGCCGAAAACTCAACAATTGTTAATTGAGAAGTAAGTACCTACACACGTTGTCGCAATGTGAGAAGACACGTTGCGGATCTTGCAGATTTCGCTTATCCGCTAATTATTTTGAATAGTTATAGTGCGGGAAGAGATTTTGTTTCACTTGGCCTAAAATAGGTGGATACATTGCTCAATTTTATACCACCCACACCAAAAAATTTATTAACTTACCGATGGCAAACTTTTTGAAACACCTTGTACCTATGAAAATTTTATTGAGTAGGTAGGTACACAGTATGTCCATATTTTAATGCCTAAGTACTAAATTGGTATCTCAGTTGTTGGTTATCATAAAAAAACTTTCTAGAAATTTCAAGAAAAGTTCTAAAAAAAAATCTATATCTAAAAATTCTAAAATATCTAAACAATTTTAGAGGGATTCTAAAAAATATGTAAAATATCCTAACAATTCTAGAGAATTTTAAACATTGCTAAAATACATATCTAAAAATTCTAAAAAATTTGAAATATGTATCTAAAAAATTCTAGGAAATTCTAAAATATCTAAAAAATTCTAAAAGAAATAAAAATATCTACAAAAAATCTGAGAGATCTAAAAAATAAAATTCTAAGAAATTCTGGGAAATTCTAAAAAAAATTCTAAAATATCTAAGGAAAATCTGAAATACCTAAAAAAATTAAATAAATTCTGGAAAATTATAAAAATGTTTTAAATATCTGAAAAATTCTAGAAAAAATATAAAAAAAAGAAAAATTAAAAACATTTTTTAAAATACTTGAAAAATTCTAGAATTCTAAGAAAAATTTGAATTATCTAACAAATTCTGGAAAATTGAAAAACAATTTTAAAATATCTAATAAATTTTAAAAAACAATCTGAAATTTTAAAAAAATAACAGAAAATTGGAAACAAATTTTGGAAAATTATAAAAAAAATTCAAAAATATCTAAAAATTCTAAGAAAAATCTGAAATATCTGTCTAGAAATTTCTAAAAATTTTTTTGAAGTTTTAACAAATTCTAGAAAATTCTTATGAAATTCTGAAATATAAAATATCTGAAATACCTAAAAAATTTCAGAAAATCAAAAAATTCTGAAAAATTAAAAACAAATTTTAAAATATCTGAAAAATTCTAGAAAAATTCCAAAAAAATTTGAAATATCTAAAAAAATTAAAAAAAAATTTTTTAGAAAATTCTATAAACAGAATTCTAAAAAAATCTGAAATGTCTAAAAAAATTTAAAAAATCCAAAAAAATTTTTAAAAATTCTGATACCTAAAAAAGGTCTAAAATATTTAACAAATTCTAGAAATTTAAAATTCTAAAATATTTAATAATTCTAGAAAAATTTAAATAATTCTAGGATGTTCTATAAACATTATAAAATATCTGAAAAATTCTGGAAGATTATAAAAAAAATTGTAGAGAATTCTAAAAAATGGTACCAAATTTTGGGAAATTCTAAAAAATTCTAAAATATCTACAAAAAATCTGAGATACCTAATAAATAAAATTCTAAGAAATTCTGGGAAATAACTAAAAAAAATTCTAAAATATCTAATAAAAATCTGAAATACCTAAAAAATTTAAACAAATTCTTGAAAATTATAAACAAAATTTTAAATATCTGAAAAAGTCTAGAAAAAAATATAAAAAAATTATCAAAGTCCTCGTTTGAGATCGAAGGGACTTCAGCGCATTTTTGTGTGGCAGATCAGTATTCTATTAGCCACTTTCGATTCAACCATCAATAACAGATCTTGTCGAAGGCTACTACATTCACTAACCGCTTCCCACTTTCCTCGTGCACCCGCAATTCGCTTTTAAAGATTTGACTCCACCATCAGGAAGATCGTGTCGGGGGCTACCACATTCCCTTTGACGGTACCCACTTCCGACGTTCGGTTCACCCGCAATTCGCGTTTGAAGATTTGACTCCACCATCAGGAAGATCGTGTCGGGGGCTACCACATTTCCTTTGACGGTACCCCCTTCCGACGTCCCGTTCGCCCGCAATTCGCGATTGAAGATTTGACTCCACCATCAGTGAGATCGTGTCGCGGGCTACCACATTCCCTTTTACGGTACCCACTTCCGACGTCCCGTTCACCCGCAATTCGCGTTTGAAGATTTGACTCCACCACCAGGAAGATCGTGTCGGGGGCTACCACATTTCCTTTGACGGTACCCCCTTCCGACGTCCCGTTCACCCGCAATTCGCGATTGAAGATTTGACTCCACCATCAGTGAGATCGTGTCGCGGGCTACCACATTCCCTTTTACGGTACCCACTTCCGACGTCCCGTTCACCCGCAATTCGCGTTTGAAGATTTGACTCCACCATCAGGAAGATCGTGTCGGGGGCTACCACATTCCCTTTGACGGTACCTCCTTCCGACGTCCCGTTCACCAGCAATTCGCGTTTGAAGATTTGACTCCACCATCAGGAAAATCGTGTCGGGGGCTACCACATTTCCTTTGACGGTACCCCCTTCCGACGTCCCGTTCACCCGCAATTCGCGATTGAAGATTTGACTCCACCATCAGTGAGATCGTGTCGCGGGCTACCACATTCCCTTTTACGGTACCCACTTCCGACGTCCCGTTCACCCGCAATTCGGGTTTGAAGATTTGACTCCACCATCAGGAAGATCGTGTCGGGGGCTACCACATTCCCTTTGACGGTACCTCCTTCCGACGTCCCGTTCACCAGCAATTCGCGTTTGAAGATTTGACTCCACCATCAGGAAGATCGTGTCGCGGGCTACCACATTCCTTTTACGGTACCCACTTCCGACGTCCCGTTCACCCGCAATTCGCGTTTGAAGATTTGACTCCACCATCAGGAAGATCGTGTCGGGGGCTACCACATTCCCTTTGACGGTACCCCCTTCCGACGTCCCGTTCACCCGCAATTCGCGTTTGAAGATTTGACTCCACCATCAGGAAGATCGTGTCGGGGGCTACCACATTCCCTTTGACGGTACCCCCTTCCGACGTCCCGTTCACCCGCAATTCGCGTTTGAAGATTTGACTCCACCATCAGGAAGATCGTGTCGGGGGCTACCACATTTCCTTTTGACGGTACCCCCTTCCGACGTCCCGTTCACCCGCAATTCGCGTTTGAAGATTTGACTCCACCATCAGGAAGATCGTGTCGGGGGCTACCACATTTCCTTTGACGGTACCCGCTTCCGACGTCCCGTTCACCCGCAATTCGCGATTGAAGATTTGACTCCACCATCAGTGAGATCGTGTCGCGGGCTACCACATTCCCTTTTACGGTACCCACTTCCGACGTCCCGTTCACCCGCAATTCGCGTTTGAAGATTTGACTCACCATCAGAAGATCGTGTGGGTGGCTACCACAATTTCCCTTGACGGTACCTCCTTCCGACGAATCCCGTTTCACCAGCAATTTCGCGTTTGAAGATTTGACTCCACCATCAGGAAAATCGTTGTCGGGGGCTACCACATTCCTTTGACGGTACCCCCTTCCGACGTCCCGTTCACCCGCAATTCGCGTTTGAAGATTTGACTCCACCATCAGGAAGATCGTGTCGGGGACTACCACATTCCCTTTGACGGTACCCCTTCCGACGTCCCGTTCACCCGCAATTCGCGTTTGAAGATTTGACTCCACCATCAGGAAGATCGTGTCGGGGGCTACCACATTCCCGTTGACGGTACCCCCTCCGACGTCCCGTTCACTCGCAATTCGCGTTTGAAGATTTGACTCCACCATCAGTGAGATCGTGTTCGCGGGCTACCACATTCCCTTTTACGGTACCCACTTCCGACGTCCCGTTCACCCGCAATTCGCGTTTGAAGATTTGACTCCACCATCAGGAAGATCGTGTCGGGGGCTACCACATTCCCTTTGACGGTACCTCCTTCCGACGTCCCGTTCACCAGCAATTCGCGTTTGAAGATTTGACTCCACCATCAGGAAAATCGTGTCGGGGGCTACCACATTTCCTTTGACGGTACCCCCTTCCGACGTCCCGTTCACCCGCAATTCGCGTTTGAAGATTTGACTCCACCATCAGGAAGATCGTGTCGGGGGCTACCACATTTCCTTTGACGGTACCCCCTTCCGACGTCCCGTTCACCCGCAATTCGCGATTGAAGATTTGACTCCACCATCAGTGAGATCGTGTCGCGGGCTACCACATTCCCTTTTACGGTACCCACTTCCGACGTCCCGTTCACCCGCAATTCGCGTTTGAAGATTTGACTCCACCATCAGGAAGATCGTGTCGGGGGCTACCACATTTCCTTTGACGGTACCCCCTTCCGACGTCCCGTTCACTCGCAATTCGCGTTTGAAGATTTGACTCCACCATCAGTGAGATCGTGTCGGGCTACCACATTCTCTTTTACGGTACCCACTTCCGACGTCCCGTTCACTCGCAATTCACTTCTATTGGCGACACGAGAAAGAGAGACAGCGATTCGAGATTCACGAAACGTTAAACCGCGTGAGTTCGCAACGGAAGGTAAAAGGCGCCTGACTACTTCTCGAAGACGCGCGCGCCGCCTCGCAAAAGGTCGTTAATTTCGCCCCTATGACAAAAAACAAAATTCCGCCACGCAGGAGTTGTGCGCGTTTACAACATCTTTCCGACGACACCAATTTCAAAAGAATCGGACCAAAACTGTAGTAGAAGATAGGAAAAAACTGAAAAACCTTCACGTTAGTATACTACGCTCGAGGATGACGCCCAGATGTCGCCAACCCCACATCATGTAGCCATGTCCCTAAGGTTGACAAATTTCACGGCCCTGTAGATACACGTACACCCGTTGCCTTTCTACAAGAGTTCTTCTACGCGCCCACATTTGCTGCCAGCCAGCCAGCCAGTCATCCAGCCAGCCAGCCAGCCAGCCAAAGTGAGATTAAAAGCTACTTTTTACAAAAAAAATTTTTTGCAAAAATGCGCTAAAAATGATTCGACCATCAGAGTATCGGAAAAAGAGATTTTGTGATTTGATCATGAAGCGCCTACAAAAAAATAGCAGGTAGAGTAAAAGCTGAATGTATAGTGTGACAGTGACATTGACTCTGATATCAGTGTAACAGTTAATCTACAACTACTAGAAGAAACATGAATTGGCAAACAATAATTTTCGACGAAGATTTAAAGAACTTTCATAAAAGTCGAACTTGCGAATTCTTATTCATGGTTGAGCGCTCTGAAGGTGCTGGTAAGGTACTTGACAAATTTTACTTTGGTTCAAAGAAAAACCCTTTAAGTAACGTTAAAATAATAACTTATCAAGATATTTTGAACAATGTTACAACAGTTTACAGTCAGCCTCTAACGGGTAAGAAAAAATCCAATGAATTGTATAACCTTGCTGCCAAAGACACTTATGAGTATTTGATGTACCACGGTCGCCTTCCATACACGTGGATGGTTAACTTAATTAAACTTCATGTAATGTACTTAATCGATGAAGATGTTTCTGCGAGTCAAAGGCTATTAATGACGGAAAGAGATTTGAATAATGAAAGGGCCGAATTATTAAATCCAGTCGAGAAGAAACCTAAAGGTCAACCTTTTGATCCATTCAATGCGTACAAATTAAAAACTAACACTTTCTTTAAATCCAAAAAAGTGGACAATCCTTTACTTTACGAATCTATTCCCGTGGAATCAAAAGAGCTTCTCTTTGTTATGATAGGATTTTACGATTATCAACTGTTTAGAACGTTGTTTGAAGCGAAGGTTCCCTGTTTATGTTTAGTCCAAGTTGTTGAACCCAGTTTCAAACCAATTTCATCTGGTTATGATAATGATGACGGCGTTAACTGCTCTCAGAAAGCAACTAAACGTAAAACTAAGAAATCGCAAGCTTTGCTTGACTTTTGGACGAACCTTTATAATAACTTTGAAAATGAAAACTATGAGGAGTGTTTTACGCATACGTACCACATGCTCATTTGTCCAGCTTCGTTTGCGTTTGAGACCCAATGTGTTACTACAAAGTTATGCGTAAAAGTGTTCAATACTATCTCTGATGAGTTACTACGATTCTTTGATGTACAAAGATGCTATGCAAACTACATCAGACATTTGAAAATGTGCAATGTGGGTCCGAAACCCAATTTTGCTTCCTCTGGAAAGTACCCTTTGTACAATAAAATTATGAATTTGTTGCCTCCCGAATGTTTCAACGTATCTTTTCTTTTATACGCCATGCTCGAGCAACTTCAACGATTGTCATCGTCAAATCTACCTGCCACGAACTCGTCTGAAATATTTGTAACCTATGAATCACCAGCGAAAGAGTTACCCACACACAAAAGCATCAAGAGGTGTATTGGTGACATACTAAAAAGAGCTGCTCCATCTTTTTGTTCTAACAATTTAAACGAGCATCGTGATGGTTCAAAAGCAAACTTAGGAATATCAAGAAAACCATTTCTAACTCACGAAAGGAATCACAATTACATACGAATAAGTCCATACGAGAAAATTCGCCCCGAGTACTTAAGAATTAATCATCATGGTCTAGAGATGTGCCGTTCAGCACTGTTGTGGAAACGTTGCAATTTTAAAGAGCTCCAGGTTTTTCTGAACAAATACAACTTGAAGAACTTGGCTAGTGTTTTAGAGCTACCTGTGCAGGAAATACAGTATGCTCTTCACGTAGTCCTCTTTCACTCAATGAAATGTTCTACCGACAAAAATTCAGTTACAACTTGCAACAATTCATTCACCTCATTGTTCGCGCCGATAGAAGACACTGCACCAGGGGTTACTACTTTAACAAATGATACTTTCAAGTCGATACCCGGTAATCAAAACGTTTACGAGGTTCGAAATATGGCGTCATTTAAATGGTACGATAAATTAACGTCAGACGTAATGCTACAAGATCTCTTTGATGCCGAACAGAATCACGCTTGCATGGATTACAAATTTAATGCCTTTGATGATACAATTTTGTTGAGATTTCACAATGATCTGGACGAATTTGGACTCAATCGGCGAGTACACAATGAATCGTTAAGAACGAATATTGGGTTGAAAGACTTCTGTAAGTATGTCATTAATGAAGATTGTGAATGGCTAAAAATGCAAGAAGAAAAGTATCTCAAAGATCGCGAAAAGGAGTATGACGAGAACGTCAGAGCGCAGCAGGTCGCAAAGCAAACATTTTACCCCGAGTTAATCTTTACTGATTCCGATTTTGTACAACCAGGATCATTCAAAGCAAAGGCCAAAAACGAAACAAAATTAAACCCGTCTCCTACAACTGCACCAATCGCTACTCTCGAAAAACTATCAGAACCACCTCTACCACTGCCGTCTAAAAAACTTAGTCTTCATTTCGCCGACTCAGACTTTCGGTATTATGCATATGATCACTGCGATCACCGTTTGCAATTAACGGGCTCGACAATCCTATTTCACAGTCAAGATGGTGTCAAAGTAACAGTTGATCAAACTCGCTTTTTGAAATCACCCAAAACGTTATCCATTAACGTATCAGTTGGCGGACACAGCTTAGTACTCCACAAAAATGAGATAACTTGGTCAGAACCGCTCACCTTTCATTTCGCTTTGGCAAACCAAACTATTGTGGCATTTGGGAAACCCCACAAACCGAAAAGGCCCGAATCCAAATTATTTTCCAACTTATATCATGCGATAAAAGAAGGCGATCCCAATTTACGGCAGCGACTGTATTTTGTGTCGGAAACCCAAAGTCGCGTAATGAAATGCTTCGACGTCCCAATGATTACTAAAAGAAATTTGATTTTATCTCAAGATCTATTGACTCCCTTCCTGCGAGAAGTAGCCAAAAGAAAAATTCCCGTTAAATATGTCTTATCAAGCGAAACTTTGAGTAATGAGGAAATAACCGAAATCAAAAATGTTGTGAGTGCAAAATTACGTAGAGGAGAACATGTGCCAAGAAAAAGGTCGACCAAGTTTATTACCATAACCAACACTGAGGAAGTAGAAGACGTACAAGACGAAGAAACTCTTTGGAGTAGTCAAGCACGTCGAGCCTTTTCATCGGAAGATTTTACCATTTTAAAAAGGTCAACAAAAAAAGTACTAGGCAAGATTAGGGAGGCGCAAGTTTCTCAAATCCCAATATTTAAAATTTGTTCGAGCAGACTTCATAAAAATCAATACGTAAAACGAGTGAAATCTTCCGTTGCCATTCCTGAAGGAACTGTGATAAAACGCTTAGCTATTAAACCGCGTTTGCGTTACGGTGAAAGTGAATTAAAAATTTCGAAGTTACTGCCTATTAAACCTCTTATTGTGGGGAATAGTCCAAATTACAATTTAAAAGTTTCGTTGCCGTCTGGATTGATCGTGGAAACCGTGCCTGGAGTTGAAGGGGCACATTTTTGTTTACGGCAGAGGTATGTAGATGTGGGTCCACAATCAAAATCAATTTCCAGCGAGTCTTCACGCACTTTTTTGAGAAATGGCATCTTAGTGATTAGTAAAAATGATGGAAATTTGAATCTCTTAAACGTAAATGGCCACATTGCTAACTGTAATTTATCTACAATTAAGGAAAAAGGTGCCAATAACTCGAGACTAAAACGCAAAGTGTTTTCTCATTTAACACACTTGCACGCATACGGTGCAAATTTCCGCAAATTTAAAAGGCATCTACAAAGGGTAGTGTACCGATTGGAAAAGCACGAGGTAAGTAAATCATTCACCAGTTATAGTAGATCTCCATTTAGAAGGTTGAAAAATTGTCATAGTGGCGTTTATTTTTTGCAAAATTCGATGTCTCCATGTGCAAAGTTTTCTTTAATTACTTGCGATGGAAGAAAGATAACAAAAGTAAAATCGGCAATAGTTGAAGAAAAGAAGTTTTATACTTCGACTGTGACCGATTATCGATATGAAGAAGTTCTTTTCACCAGAGAGGATGGAACGCATAGTTTGCTGAATCGCGATGGAGTTCTAATAACACAGTTCCCCGATGGTAGCAGAATATCATCTTGGATCTATATTGAACCAGAATTGATCTACGTAGTTGATGAGCCTATTCGTTGTAATATTACATGTGACAAGCAAGAGCAAGCCTCTTTACATTCCGTTTCTGGCTCTATGTCATCTACAGACGACAAAACCAAACCCGCAGAAACAGGATGGGTATCTGTCTTTCTAAATTTCAAATTGGAAAATCCACATTACGCCACTGTGGCGTATTATGGCTCGAGCAAGTATGCGGATATTACACTTCCTGGTAATATAAATATTAACATGACCGATTTGGGAGAATACAAAATGCAAGTCGATGACCGAATCGCCGCCAACATAACATGCGACAAATTAGTGTTGGAGTCACAATTATGCCACAACTGTCTAGGGAAGTGTACAACGACTTTGAACCTTAGACCTTTTTTTAACAAGGAGAGGGGCGCTTTTAATTCAAGCAAAATTAAACTTTTGAAAACAGTTGACAGCTTTAGAAAGAAGTTTGTAGTAAATTATGATGGCAGGTGTTACAAGAACACAGATTATGAAGCAGGAGGAAGAAATAAAGAATGTTGTGAGATGCACCGCCCATTTGAGTTTCAGCAACTTTTTCTGCTAACAAGATCTTTAAATGGTTGCAAACTGTGGGACACTATGTCGTTTGAAAATCAACGCTTAATGGCACAGAAGCATGAACATGTTACTGTAAAGAGTTCACAAGATAAACATTCCTCATTGGTCATTTTGGAAACTTCGGTTGATGTACCAAAGGACTACGAATTTATGCTTCCCTACAAAGAGAAGTCTTTAACGTTAACCAAACAGAAGGCAAATAAGTGCGAAGAGGCCAAGACATTTTATACAAAAAGACTAATCTTGCGTGGGCTTCCAAGTGCACCTACGTTGTTACCATTTTACAAAACCTTGAGGGATTTACTCACACCCAATCCGAAAATTACCTGGTCCGGTGCCTCTGAATTTTTCATATTTTACGACAAGATTTTAACGGAATTTAAAAGTGACCAAACCGATAAAAAGAAAGCCTATCTTCTAGCTGAGGCTGAAAAAATGCACGTGGCAGAACCGGTTGTACCGCTTTCAGAACGCTTAAAAAATTGGAAAAGGCGACGTGCTAGTAAAATTAACAAAATTAGGCATACAACGGTTCCTTTATATTATAACTCTAAACAGAGAGAAGATTTGATGAAGGAACTGTATCCTGAACCCACTCCATCGGAATCTCTAATTGCTACTTCCTCCATTTCTAATGAAGCACCTATGGTACCTTCAGAAGCTAGCGTGAGCTGCGACCACCAACCAGAATCATTACAAGATGAAGCGAAAACGAATTCTGTAGACACTCAGACTCAAGTAGAGCACAGCGTATCACTAAGTGTACAGGAAAATTTAAAAATGGGATACTCCATAAAAAAAGATTTAAATGGCAATGTTCATGCAAACGAAATTTTGAAAGAAGTTATTTTGAGATTCAGTTCCTTTCTTGAAGACGTAGAGGACAAAAATGAAAATGTGTCAGTTCACAAAGTTGAGTATGTCGCCGAAAAAATTTATAACAACATACTATTCGCTGCCAACGAGTTTGATAGTTCGCGTTGTAACGATTACATTACCATCGCTGCTACGATTATTGTTAAAAACGTAACTTCCGAGCATCTAAATACTGCCGAAATGCGTTACCTGGTTACTTTCTTATCTGGACCAATCGTTGAAAATATGGGAACGTGTATTGGCGTCAACACCAAATCTTGCACACCGTGCTTTGATGGCTCGAGTTGTACGTTGAAACAACCAGCAGACCAAGATGATTCAACATCGGCCGAATCAAATCAAGTTGAATCTGCGTACGAAGTTTATTGCAGTTACTCAGGCAAAACTAAAATCGGTCTCCGACCTTCGTCTTCAAGTTCGATTGAGCATAGTGGGGATAAAGTTAGGCCAAAAGGGAGCAGCTTAACGGTCGTTTATGAATCAAGTGGAGTGGATCATGATAAATCACTAGATCCTAAAGCGAAATATCTAATACGGTCATCTTACACCAACTTGATTCAGTCGCAAGGTGGAAGCGAGGTGTGCACTAAATGTATTGAAACCACCTCATTTTGGACAAAGTACGCGAAGAGAACGAGTGGCGAGGAAAATGATCAGTTGGAAAGCGTTGAACAATTACTTACGGGAGAATTCAGTGAAGCAGGAAGTGGTAAAGATTTTCCGTCAACCTCCTTTGGTAATTTCGAATCAAATCAATCCATAGTTATAGAGGATAGTGAAAGTCGGACAGTTGCATTAGATAGGGATACAGACGACCTACCATCTGACAGCATGATGGCTTTATTCAGTTTGGCATCTTTAAAAGCTAAAAACATGCAGAACATGCCCCCGTACATTGAACGAGACCCTAATGACATACAGAAATTTCTCACTAACGCAATAACGTCCGCTGAGGTACGTATAGTAACAAAATGTATTAGCTACAGTTAACCGCTAAAACATTATTTCAGGGTGAAGACAGGAAGCGATCCAAATTGATTCAGTCGGCATTAAGTAAATGTCGAAAGTGTGTTAAAAAAGGTCACGGGCGCTTTTCCAAGAACAAAAGTCTTACAGATGTTGTAAACCAGATAAGAGCCGATAATCCACTATTAAGTAGCCAAACTGCAATTAATGGAAGTTTGTTAGACATTCTGCAATCAGACGTAGAAGAGTTGGATGGGAAAAAACACGGCAAGCATTTAATTTGTGCAGAAATTACGAATAAAGATGCGAGATTAGTAAAGGAAGGTTGTCCTCCGATCATGGATCAAACAACGACGTATAGGGTACCACGGCAAGAACCGATAGGAAAAATAGTGAAGAAAAGCGTCGGAATGGTTACAAAGGAAGGCACTACTGATAAAAGATTTCAAACTCGATCTTTTCATTAAAGTTTGCTTAATTCAAATATAAAAGATTGTCTGTAATTTGCTCTTTCTATTCTATCTTTCGAATAGTATCTCTATAATTTGAAAATTAACACTGTTATTACTACCCGATCCCACCCCTTCACCACGCAGTCCCACCCCTTCGCCGCCCGATCCCAACACTTCGCCAACCTTTTGCCACCCGATCACACCCCTTCGCCACCCGATCCCATCAGATCATCAACCAATCCCAACACTTCGCCCTCCGATTTCACCACTTTGCCACCAGTTCCCCATCCGATCTTAACTTTTCGCAACCCAATCCCATCCGATCCCGATCCAACCCTTTCGCCACTTAATTCCATTCCTTTATCACGCGATCCCAACCCTTTACCACCCGATCCCACACCATCTCACGTGATTAAATCCCTTCGCCACCCGATCCCACCCCATTGACACCCGTTCCCACCCTATCGTCACTCGATCCCAATCCGATCCCACCACTTCGCCCCCCTATTCAACCATTTCACCGCTCGATCCCACCCATTTACCACCCGATCCCACCCCTTCGCTATCCAATCTCACACCATCCCCACCCGATGCCACCCCTTCGCCACCTGGTCACACCCCATCGCCACTCGTTCTCTCCCCTTAGCCACCAGATCCCACCCCTTCGCCAATCGCCACCCAATCCTACCCCTTCGCCACCCGATTCCAACCCTTCACCACCCGATCGCCTCCCAATCACACGCCCTCGCCACCTAATCGCACCCCATTATCACCCCATCTCCACTCATTCCCATCCCATCCCCACCTGATCTCACCCCTTCACCACACGATGCCACCTCTTCGCCACCTGGTCCCGCCCCTTCACTACCCGTTCCCCCTATTCGCCATTTCCATCCCATCTCACCCGAGCCCACCCCTTCGCCACCCACCAAAGATTACTATCTGCATTCAATAACAAAAATTAACAACAAACATTTACGAAGCATCGCCATTAAAAACATGAAAGTAAAACATGTATAAAACCCCTATACTATCTACTACACTATTTTGCCCTAAAGATTTTTTTTCAATCTATCCTGCGAAGGGGGCCATTTTGGAAATCGAAATTGAAAAATGTTTATAACAAATGTTGTAGTACCTAGTGTAGGGCTTTGATAATTTTTTTGCTTTCAAACATAGATGGGGTGGTTCTCAAAAATTCTTTTTTTTTAATTCTTGATCGGCCCTATTTAATTTACTTGAAAAAATAAATAATAATCATAAATACAAATATCTTAGAGAGCTAAAAAATAGTTATGAAAATCCTTATTTATTTTCAATAGTAATATAATAGTAAATAAAATAAATTTATCGAAAACAAAAGAACGGGGACACCAAATCAAAAATTGAAACTAAGAAAATTTGTTTCTTTAAATGACTACTTAGTACTGTGCGATCAAAAATGAGTTACTGTGGAGTCACATTTGGAACTTTTGTTTACATGGGAAAATCGTATTTAACTTGAACTTCCAAAAGCGACTCGACAGCAACTCATTTTTGATCGCCCGTTATTAACACCCTGTATACTAATATGCAGGATAGAATCTCTCACTACCTGTAAATACACTTTTCAAAAGTCAAGCTTCGTTACGAAAATCCCTGTTCGTCGACACCTGCGCAGAACGGTCGAAACCGAAGACATCACAACTGCTGTATACACAGAGCATTTCGTATTTTTCTCATACATACTACCATTTTTTCAAATGTAAGGTGTGTCGTCTAACACAATAGGGGTCACCACTCACCACAGATGTCAGGATAATGTATTTCAAACGGTTGATTGCCATCTACTTACTGATCCGAGAGGCAGACGTAATAATAATTAGCTATCGAGTATCGATTGCGAAAAAAAAACGTGAAATCTCTTCCCATTTCCAAGAGGCAGAAACAACAATTTCGTAAGGAAGTGATTTAGTTTAAACTTTAAAGGCTTTCGTCTCTTAATAACTTAATTCATAAAAATCATTCCAAAAGAATACTATAAGTATGATCTTGATCTTGGTCATAGAGTAAACGTTATTTACTCTATGTCTTGGCCAAAGTGTTGGTCCAGTCTTCAACAGCTATACCTTAATCTCATCTCTAAGTTAATTTTTGCTGATAATCAATAGCGATTGTTACGTATTCACTCTCTAGGGGACAAATAGTACAGCCTACTGAGTACTGATTTTCAAAAATGAACGATTCATGTTCGTCCTATTTTATTCGTTTTTGAGGGCGTTCACTGTATATAAGATCATCTTTCTTTTTTTAATACACGCACCTTGCTTATTTAGTCATCCTCCTTTAGCTGAATATAGCAACAGTTGTGTGATGTATGCAATAAATGTAAATGATAATAGGAAATTTAGGTTAAATTGACTTGTTGATTATTTGACACGATAATGTTTATAGTTTAATTTTTTTATTCAATCAATATCCATTATAATAAATTACAATTAAAATGAACACGAAAGAGTAGGTAGTCGTGAAGACATATGGGAAGGTAGGTGAATTCTGTAACAATATACAAAAATTAATGTTGGTCAATCCTCTAATGATTTTCTGACATTAGGCTTAGTTTTTCCTCAATTAATAACAATTAAATTCCTATTAGATGGCAACTGAGAATGTAGATTATGAAAAACAATTTCAAGAGGACTTGGAGCGTGCACAGGCACTTAGCCTGGAGTCATTGGCGTTGGAACAATTTAGAAACCAAAAACGCTTACAGGAACTCAACATATCCACAAAAAATGTTTCGACTAGAACGAAAATCATTAAAAATACTTCAGGTATGTGATGACAAAGTAGCAAAATGGAGATTAATGTATTTCTGTTTTAGTTTTGCGCACATCGTCTATGAATGAATCGGACTGCGGTCCTGCCAGACCCGAACGACATCATATAAAATCTAGACCTAGACCTGGTGCAACAAGTACCAGCCCTGCAAATTCAATAATTGCACCACCTCCATCATCGCAACGTCGAAATAGCACAACTTCTATTACATCTGATGAAAGTACTGCAGATCTAATATCGTTCACTAGCCCTCCATCAAGCAGCATTTTAGACCTTTACGATGATGGACCCAATATGTGAGTACTAAACTAAAGTAAATCTTAATTTACGCTTACATTTTAGGTCGGTCAATGGAAAACAATTGCCCAATCCAACTGCGAATATCTTGCGCGAATATCAAATGAGGCAATATCATACTCAACCTTCGCCATTGCTAAACAATTTATTTCAAAGCAAAACTAACCAGCCCCTCGGTCGCCCAATTGGCTGGCAATTTAATACAGGCTATACATCTTCGAGTAGTGTGAGCTCAGTTTCCAGCGCTATGCAAAGTCCTACTCTGGGAATTACTAGCAGTTCTGTGATCATCCCTGCAAATATTGGGTGGAATATTTCTACACCTCCACCTCCTCCTACAAAACAGATTAACATTCTTTCAAGTAATGAATCTGACCAAGAAAAGGTAGAGTTAACATTTTTGATAATTATGACCAAATCATGCATTACTAAAAAGATGTCTGCATTTGGGGCTCTATGTATATACTGGCTGGCCATATTTACAAATGAGTATATTCTTTATCACCAGTATCTTTCTGTTTCATTTCTAGGTTAGAATTATGAATATTTCAACACTAATTCTGATGTCATTGAAAACTAAACAAATTTTAGATTGATAGAATATGCAGTTTTTCTGACCATGTAGACAAACATGCGAGGTGATTTTATGAAGACTCTGTATTGAGATACATTAATGAAGTTTACTGAGTTTACTGGTAGGATTGCTCTGAACCTTAACAAAATGTACTATCCGTTTGACAGATCAACGCAACGGATGAACCCAAGGTTAGTAAAGTTAATAGGTTGCATGGTAACTACTAGCAACCATAACGAAGAGAGGGGGCCGAAGTACGAATGACGTCACAGTGTGCAAGTGACAGCCATTGAACTGTATTTAATTTAATGTGATCAGTTACCCGACTGTGATTCACATATGTGAACGCTCACTTTCTCATACTTTACAATATGCCAGGAAAAGAGGATTCCGTGCTGGTACTCGGGTAGAATTGCTTTATGTATTTGTAAGTCTTGTTTCATAAATTACACTAGCCTTTGTGGTCAGAAAACCATTTCCTGTCTGTAGTGTTTTTTTTAGAAACTACGACACTTTGTTAGCAATTTGACATATCCTAAAAGGTAATAGGCATAGAACTTTATAAAAAACGTCATTTAACGGCTTTGTTTTTATTTTTTATAACAATTTAGGAGTAAAAGGAAACATACTCCCACTTTCAACTTTGATGTAAATGTTCATAACCACACATCGCAACACAGAAATGTATGTATGTTATCATAACTTATATATGTACCTCTTGAAAGAACGCAATTAATATAGAAAATATCCAAAACTGGAGGAATTAATTAAAATTTTGAAAATCAGTGTTTAGCTGTTAAAATGGATGTGCACAAAGTTACGTCACACGCTCGTGGTCCCCTATTGGCCGAAAGTTACCATGCAACCTATTAACTTTACTAACCTTGGGATGAACCCACCTTTAAAGCCTTATCAAAAGAAGGCCACTTGATCAAATGACATCAAATTTTAGTAAATTGAACCTTTTCAAACACATTTTTTCTAATTTCTATTTGTGGCTGCGAAACCTGATTCCAAAATGAAAGGCAACACAAACATTTCACTTGTACAACTCTCTTTGCTATATCAGAAACAATTGGATTGGGTCACATTCTGTTATTTTTGTAAACCATTTGTTATTTGTAATATTTAAATAACCCCTAGGCCAAATTAACTCGAGCGGCCTCCTAGGTGAAACTTCCTAGGAGTGATCGTCAAATTGCATTGTGAGCAAGCCAACTTTTTGGCGAATTTTTCTCAAAGTAAAAATCTTTATTGGCTGCACTTTATGTTGTGAATTGGCCAATGAGCGGAATTTTCTTATCGGAATATCTATGTGATTAATTGAGGTATTGATGTTGATTGAAAAACATTTGATGAAGTAGATGAAAGTAGGTAAGATTAGTTGCATATTTTAAGGGGTATTTGACTTGTATATTTAAAAATTGAACATAGGAGATTTGTATGTTCAGAGTTGAGTAAATTTACACATTCAATATAATCAGCGATGCTGATAATATTGCGTATGGTGGCAAGATAGAATTGAACTGCAAGAAAATGTCACCTCAATTTTTTTTTAATATGTGATTAAATTCACATTTATTTATCAATCAATTTCTCACTTACTGTGAAATAATTGCTTTGTTTTGTAGGCACCAGCATTACCTCCTCGAAACCAACAGAGTACACCTCCGACAATCCCTGTACCATCTTCATCTAGCAAACAGAAACTACGAAACATCACAACCAAAAACATGAAACTCAGTTATAATTTGATTGATCTAACACCATCAAACCTTGATGATAAAAATAGTGTAAGAGTTAGTATCCTGGAGGCGTTTGATCCTCTATTGACTAGTTCTGAAAGTGGAAGTTTAAGTCCGGAATGTCCAGGTATTCTCGAAAATAGATTATGGTTTGTATATACTTATTTTTGTAGACGATGCAGTCTCTGTATGTGATAGTGTTTACGACGAATATGATCCCTATGATTTTATTTATTCTGGATCAGGTAGCAATAGTACATCTGATCCTATGTATGCTGCTGTTATAAAGTCCAAAACCGAAACTGGGGTATTGTCCTCTACATCCACTTTGTCTCGCAGAGCTCAACTGTCTACAATGGAACGGCAAAAGAGCAAGGACTTACTTGTAAATGATACTTTGTTATTTCGCATTGCAATATTATGGTTTCAGGTAAAGAAGAAGTCGTTTTTGTATGACAATATTATCTTACTTGAACAAAATTCTAACGATTCCGATTTAGAGGCATTTTATAAAACTGTACTTAACTTAAGATGTAAGTACTTAGTTATAATGATACTTTTTTAGATTTCTTTTGAGAGTTTCTTTCTCGGGAATTATTTGTCTACATTCAGATCTGACACTGTACTGTAACATTATGAAGTTGGCAGTGTTGCTAACTCCATTGAGTTATTTTTTTCTCAAAGGACAATACTAAATATTAGATCATGCATCAGGTTATCCAGTAAATTACCTAAGCATCTTTTTTAAGGAATGGCTGGTACTTTTTTTTCAAATAACAATACTATAAGTATATTTTTGTATTACTTCAAAAGCAATAAAGTTGTAAAGATCTATCTAACTTAAAGGGCTAGTAAGGACAACTAGAATTTGAACATGATGTTAAAATGTAACTTTAATTGCAGGTAGATTTCGGTACGATGACCCAGATACAAATATGGGTTTAGTAATTAGTCCTCTAATGTCACATCAGTATCGTGAGGGTACTAGCATAAAGGTTTGCATTTACCCACATTACGTAGGTGCTGATTCTACGAAACCTGTTAGCTTTACCTGTGATGGTATGGTCAATCGACATCTTTCCATGAAACTTATCAATTTTATTTTAGTAACTTCAAGTGTCGAACACATAACTCTTCATGTGACCTGTGAATTGGAAGCCCCATCAGAAGATGAATACACCTTAAAGGTTTGGGGATATAATGAATATTTGGCACCCACAACCTTATTATCAGATTATGAATATGTACATAATTGCATTAAATTAGAGGAAGATGTACTGTTAATATTGGTACCTGATAGACTAGTGGACAGATCATTCGCAAGAACTGTAAATCTTACAATGTGTAGTAACTATTTTTCACATTTTCATTTTAGCCTCAAGATGACAATCGGGACAAGGATATAAAGTTTCAGGATATAATTCCCACAGAAACTGATGCTCCACTAACTTATGATAATTTAAAAATTCTACTTGGTAAATAGGTACATCACTAAAAAACAAAATGCGTAATCCATCTTTTTTCCCAGAAACGTTAGAAAAAGAAATGGAAAAAATCGAACAGACTGCTGTTCAAATTGAAAAACCTACCAACTCTAGCTTTATTCCGCAGTTACAACCGTCAGGTGTTATACAATCGATAAAACTGGTTGTGAAACTACTTGGCACTGTGGAAACATTAGATATATCAGAAGCTTTGGATAATTTAAAGGAATGTTGTCAAAAGTTTGTCCCACAAGTTAATCAGGTAAGTATGATTACTTTACCGACGCCGCATAAGACAAGACTATCTCCAAAATAACACGACCAAAGTCTGATGCCTTCACAGGATGACATTCATAATTGATGACTAGCAGATTCATGAATACATATTCTTAGCGCATTACTTTAATTAAACGCGTCTATGGGTTTTGTTAGCTAGATTGGAATGTCCGTAACGCCATTTTCTCTAACTCAGATCTGACTACAAGCCTAGTGGTTAACTAAATTATTGGGATTTCTTGCATAGGACAGTGTTTCAAATTGTAATGAAAAGGGAATAACTAACGTTGCGCGTTTTCCAGCACTTATATAATTGGATTAGTGGTTTTTGGGCGTTAACACCAATTCTGAAATATTCCATACATTCTATCTGATATTACTATGCGGTCAAAAATGAGTTGCTGTCGAGTCACCCTTGGTATTTTTGTTTACATGGTAAGTCGTACTTAACTTGAACTTCCAAAGGCGACTCGATAGCAACTCATTTTTGATCGTGTGAGAGTTGCTTATGTACACCATTGCAGTTTAAGGTATACAAGCTTCTAATCAACTCTGCTATGAGGCGGTATTCACGAGTCGGCAAGCTAAAACCTTTGATTACATAGTTAAAAGTTGATTTACAAAAATTGCACAATTCTGCATTTTAAACTTAATTATTAAGCGAACTCCTACTTGCTCATTCAATGAGCCACTTCTGTTCTATGTTGAAAAAGAAAGTGAGTTAGAGGCTATCAAGATCATAAAACAATGTATAATTCGGTATACCAAGCCTTTATAAACAAATTACGGGGTAATTGATTTTTCCAAGCCTCCTCAACTACAAATTAACTGTGTTAATAAAGTAACAGCACCCTAGATAAAAATTTAATATTTTAAGATTAAAATGTCAACGGTTACATGTGAGGTGTCACTGTATTGAAGGTGCGTTCGATTTTCCGTTTCATGAGTATAGCAGAGTGTAGAGTGAAAAACGTCACGTGATCACTGGCGCAAATTAATAACAGTACAATAAAGGATGGACGTGAAGCAGATGGAGCATCAACATAACCTCTAAATGGTGTACAGCTTAACCTCAAATGTGTGCAGGTGTAACAACAAAAATTGTAATCCTCCACGAGCGTGCACATTTTTGTTCAAATACTAAACCGGGAATCTGTAGAAATATTCATTGCAGACGCAAATGATGTCTAAATTATCTTTATGAAGCGACGAGCGTTTCTACGTTCGTTTTAGAACATAATATAAAATCGTACAGGTAGCCACACACGAAACGCGCCTAAATGTTGACGCGTGTTCTAGGACTCTGGCCTAATCAACGGCCGATGTACTTGTCTCGCCATTTTTAACATTAAATTCGCCACCAGCAACCCCCCACACATCCGAATATGGAATATCCCTACTCGCCTGTATGAAAATAACATCTTTTTGATGCGTCACCCTGTATATAGTACTTAGTTATTACCGGTATAGAAGATATCTACTTCACAAATTTACATTTATGTCATTTATACATAACCTATTTGTAATGTTTGGTTTTGATTTTTATTACTAAATTATTCGTTATTGTTTTTAAATATGTAAACAATTACAGTGCTTTTGCACGAACTTTAAAATTATGGAGGACGTTAAACGCGACATTAACATAAAGGCTAAGCGAACGCGATACGAACAAGTAAAGCAAATTGCGACTGCTTATTTACAACGAAGGAACTACCCAATTTCACCTCATGAAGACATACCCATTGGTCAGTTCAAGATGTTTTCGCATATCGAAAATGAAACCAGTCGTCCAAATTCAATTCTCTACAGTTGCTTTAATAACGATCCCGTACTCATTGAACAGACCTTTGGAAAGTTCTTGCTGTGGATTAAAGATTTGTTGAAGAATAACAAGAAGAAGCACGAAGATTTGGAATTGGTAATTGGTCCACTTTTCTGTCACATTTACTTGGAAATTTTACGAGGCGGTCATACAGAGCGGGCATCTAGTTTTCTAAAAATTCATTTACCTTCAATCGATCGGACTAAGTGTGATACGTTCATACAGGAATTAATCAACGCATTCGTTAGCGATTCTATCGACACTCCCATACTGAAAGAGAACTTTCGAAGCACCAAGTACTCCGTCGAATTATCGCACGACTCTGTCATGGCTTTAAAGCAGTATCTTTCTGATGCAGGACATGTTGTTCTTTTACAGGTATTTCAAAGTTGGTTTTTTATGAATGAAAAGGAAGAAGCTCAAGATGAAAATGAAAGCATGGTGCTAGTTGGGGATCCCATTTTGTGCAATGGTCATATTGAAAGCCCGAAAAGTGTGAACAATAGTAATAGTAATTTATCTTTGCAGAAATTATTAACTGCAATTGATAGTGTGAACTCAGAACCTGCGCCAGTGTATTCAGTGCACTTATCTAATGTGAAAGATAGGGTCACATGTGGTACATTAAACCGACAACAAGGCTTTTTTGCGTACAGTTATAATAATACAGTGACTTTAAGATGCTTACAAACATTGCAACAGTTAGAAAATACGTTAACTTATGGTGAAGTAGTTTTACTAGGGCATCACGCCCGTGTATATGACATTCGATTTTTTAAGAAGCGCAAACATTTAATCTCGTGTTCACAAGATAAAACAATCCGCCTTTTTGATATAGAAAATTATGAACAGAAATTGTTATATAAAGGTCACGAACATCCTGTGTACTGTTTATCCACTTGTTTAAATGGTAATTTCTTTGTATCGGGTTCATATGATCATACCGCTCGCCTTTGGTCTGTAACAAGGAATGACACTCTGAGGGTATTTGTAGGTCACACTCAGCAAGTGACAAGTATTGATTTTCATCCGAACTGTACGTACTTATGTACGGGATCAGCAGATAGAAATATTAGAATGTGGTCAATCAGAGATGCAGAACCAATAAGATTGTTACTGGGATCAAAGGGGGCGGTATATGCAACAATTTTCACTCCTGAAGGTAAACATCTTGTAAGTTCTGGCGAAGATAGAAGACTTCGTGTATGGGATTTAGTTTCTGCAAAACAACTAATAGAGTTTAAGATAGGCTCGCAACCTGTAACGAAACTTGCAGTTAGTGCAGACGAAAAAATGTTGGCGACTGGTTCAATTGATGGAACTGTAAAGTTGTGGAATTTTGATGTGTTAGTTAAAGGTAGTGATGAAGGAAGCACTATTGATCCTGTGTGTACTTTTTCATTAAATCACAGTTTGCATGCTCTTGATTATTGTTTTGGCACGTTTGGATGCTTAACATCTCAATGTAACGCAACTGTAAAGCTATAACTAAGGTAATGGAGTGGACACCACCATTTTTTAAGATAGCCGCTGTAAAATAGAAATAATATTTTTCATTATTTATTTATTGTAATAAACTGTTTTAACATTATTACGTTTCTACTGCATTGAAAACGTTTCAATGTCTTAATTATTTTTTTTTTGAAATACATAACCCAAAAGCAATATTATTTATTGCTGTAGTAGTGGGAGGGGGAAGACATTTTTATTGTAGGTAGAGGTACAGTTTTACAGAATTAGTGATTTGCTAGGAAAGTTAATGAATCCAAATAAGTAAGTATGTAAATGAAAATTGGTTATTAGAAATGGTATGGATAAACCATATCTAAGATTCATTTAAACTCAGTTGTGAAGTTTCCTCTAAAAATCATTCTTTGTTATAAAATACCTTATCAATGGTAACGTCGTTTACACACTACTTAAAGTCCGCTGCTTAATTTTTTGTACCTAATTTTGTTGATTCTATTACCATGATTACTACCTATACCAGTCTTGAGACACATTTTTCTATCACAATAAAATATGAGCAAAGGCGAATTCTGATAAAATAAGCTTTAAGTGGTATAAAAATCTTGAAGATAACTCCCTTGATACTCCCTTCGATTCCTTGGATTTAAAATGAGCATCGTCCTTTAAAGTATCTGTAAAACACTAGCTATTTTTTTAAACCTGAAACTAAAAACGTCAAAAATGTTTTATCTTTTTATTTGTTCTTCAGGCAATTATCTTTTTTATTTTAAAAAATCCAACATATAGTGTCCCTTAAACTCGGGTACGGAAAAATTCTGATCTTTACAAAAATAGGTGACTGAAGGGCTTTTACTTCAAAAGAACGCATCCACATTTGTTTTTCAAATCTTGACCATATACCTAATAGTTAAAATAAATAATTGAGAATCAAGATTCTTCCATTCTTATTTTATAAAACAAAATTTAGATACTTTATTTTTATAATCAATGGAAAAACAAGTATTGAACTCACACACATACTGTATTCATATAAGTGCACATTTTTCAGTGGCTCAATATAAATATGATTTTGGACACAGTTTGATGCAACTCTTCAAGTTAATGTAACCTTTTATTTGTTGATATATGTGAAATTTTAATCCTACTAATAGATATGTTCTCGGATATGTCATGTCCAGATGTTAAATTCTTTCTGTGTGGTTACGAAATATCGAAACACACTATTTTCGAGATACAAGGTGTTTCCGAGTTCTGTTGTAAATAACAACACTTCTTGTAGTTTAATTAAAGTAATTTTTATATGACAACTACAAATTAGATAAGATATGATTATATGACAGCATGATACGCCTTTATAATTAATGAAATTAATGTCAGAAAAACCATATAGAAACATTAGCATGTCCCCCACCTTGAAAGCGGATACTTTCAAAAAATTACAAAAAGTTAAAAGATGAAATAATTTGACATCAAGTCTATCATAATAATAAAAGGTCTTTATTTGGCGAGTTTCAGCCTCGGGCTGTTCTGCCACCTAATCATCAAATTCTCATACATGCATATGATAGAGTAAATTCTTATAATATGAACAAAAAAACAAGAAAGAAAAAAAAATTATATTCTGCAATTATTAACCTTGAAATTTTTCTGAAAATACCTACTATTTATTGTTTATCAAAAAGTTCTTTTTTTAGCCTAGTCTTAAATAAATTGGCCTTTTTTCCTTTCTAATCGCGGCGGTAGTTAAGTTTCTTAAAGATTTGTAATAATCCCAATGTTCAGGCCGTTTCGTTTATTTGAAGCGGCTCATAGCTTGCTTTCGCAAACGTATCATTTCTTTTACCACAGGTGTCAGCCAGGGAGTTTTGACTTTAAAAACTCGAACAGTTTTGAGTGGCGCTACATTATTGAAAACATCCAGTAAGGATTTGTTCAAAAACTCAATTTTTTCATTCACATTATTGAATCAATAAAAACCTATCCCAATCAGTGCAATTAATCCTTCCCCCAAATAGCTCCTGTGAAAAAGCGAAAAATCTCTAACAGTTACGAACCTTTAATTACATTTTTTTTAGCTTTTTTAAATTAAGATGTTCGTGGTGTATTAAAAAAGATTTAAATACACGAATGGGCGAGGATTTATTTTATATAAACGAAACTGGTCGTCTTGCCCCTTCAATCATGGATAAATGTATGTAGGTGCTCCCAAATTATCTGAATTTGGAGAATGATACTAAACTTAAAACTTATGTTTTGCAGATATGCTAAAAGTTAATCTGCGCCTTTGTAATGACACTACACCTTTGAATAACTTCAGTGTTCTACACAATAACAAAAAATACATACTTAGCATCATCAATCAATGATTTTGTACACAGTCGTTATTTACTGAGATGTATACTATCTTCCATACATTATGGGCACCCCGTATATTGTCGTGAATCAGAACCTTCATTGTGAGTTCTACATAGCTGAAATTTCTATATAAGAAAAATAACGAATCTTACCTAACCAAAGCCTTGCTTTAATTCACGTAGGATTATCCGATGTCATCTTCATCTCTTAATTTGGTCTGTTATTTCAGATAGAAACTTGCGTTAATAAAATACATGTAAATATTAACAAATGTCTCAACACAGTATAAGTAATATACTGTTCTTTTTAATGTTGTAGACAAAAAGTTGGATGAACGAATCAGTTTCACTATCCATAAGTACCACATGTGATAAAATTAGATTTGCCATTCGAGGCCTTCTAGAAATATACTGTCAAGCGTTTCACGTTAACTTTAAATTAAGTAATAGTAGCACCGATCATATTTGTAAGTATTAAGATTGGTGAACATTAAATTTACCCACTTCATTTTAGCTAATGTTAATTCCACAGAAGTCTTAGAATCCATTCTGGTTAGAGTTTGTGCAGTTCATAGGCCGCTCCCTGATTGGAAACATGATGATTTTATCATTGCAGCTCAAGTATACCATGGTACTCGTCCACTTGGTCAGCCTGTGCTTTCTCAGCCATGTCAAGTTACTCACAGTTTATATTCGAGAATTCTTTTTAATTGTTGGTAAGTAGGTAAATGATTTTTTATGATTATTATTAAGTTACATTTTCTGTCAAGGTTGGAAATGGAAGATATCTTAATAAGTTCTTTAGCTAGAGAAGCAAGACTGGTGTTTGTTTTGTATGGTCGTACACTTCAACAGCAAGATTCTAATGACAGCGGTAGTTTGCCTCAATACAAACAAGAAGAGTTGGGATGGGCAGCGATACAATTTTTTAATTACGAAGGGTAGGTTGACTATATATTTACTTTAGTGGTAACAAGATTTTATAGGATTATGATCCAAGGAAATTCTCTACTTTCAATTTGGCCAAAGGAATCCAATTATATCTACGGACCTGCACCTAGTGCTGGTATTCACCCTTATTGTGATCATGCTGTGTTGGGAATAGAAATGACCACACCTCCAAAAATTGTTTTTCCTGTGGTTCCGCAACTAACATCTGCAGAAGTTATGAAAGGAGATTTCAATAGTCTCGATTTACAAACTCAACAACAACTGTTAGAGATAACAGAACAGGATATGTTGTTCAAAGCCCCCACAGAAGTTCGCGAGGTACATTTCGATTATGTTCTCAGTACCATTTTTATTGTTGCTTATAGGTGTTGTGGGAAAAACGCCATTATCTCTATAGTATACCTACCGCATTACCAAAAGTATTGTTGGCTGCGCATAGTTGGGAATGGGCATTTCTCTCCGATCTTCATGGCATGCTAAGATGTTGGAAACCTATGTTACCTGTTCAAGCTATTCAACTGTTGCTACCTACGTAAGTATTTACCTAATTTTATTAACAATGATTTAGCAATCGTTTGCAATTAGTTTTCCAGATATGGAGGTACGCAAGTTGGCTGTGAAGTGGCTGCGTGGAATCAGAAGCGACGAATTAGTCGACTACTTACCACAATTAGTAGTTGCGTTACGTCACGAGACCTACGAAAACTCGCCATTGGCACATTTTCTATTAGATAGGTCACTTAGATCTCCAAGAGTTGCTCATCACTTGTTTTGGTTACTTAGCCATAGTTTACCTGGCTCAATGCCACAAGTAATATTTCACTTGGAGGTATCTTTTATTGACATTTTCATTGTAGAATTGGTCAGCAGAAGTTATCGAGAAGGATGTTTCTATGATAAGTGAGGCCAGGTATCATCGACGTATGACTTTGCTGCTACGAGCTCTTTTAGCCATAAGTGGAGCGTCACTTAGAAAATGTTTCTTGTCACAGCAGTTGCTTGTTAAGGTATTGCGTTGTTTATTTTATTTTGTGTGTACAAGGTAGTAGATACACAATTTTGTGAAGGTGACCAAATTTTGTTTTCACACTGAACAATTTTCCCATTTTGGTTAAACCTGGATATTTCACTAATGAAAAATTTTAACCAACAATTTCCCATAAATTGTGCTCAAACATAAATGTTCAATGGGACTGTGCGTGTAGAGTACCTTTTTGTACCTTACAATGTAACGGTAACAGGTATAAATAATACAGTAGACTATAATCCGGCACTGCGTTAGACCGGTATTCTATTAATCTGGCGTATTTTGACGGGGCTTGGTGGGATTCAAGTTGAGACGTTATTTAAACAATATTTATTTTTCATTTTTTAGTAGAAATATTATTTCTTATAGATCAATTTTGATTCAAAAATACGTTTTATTAGTTGTTTTGGTACAAAAAAAACCATTGTTTTGTGTAGGTATTTTAAGTGTTGTGATTTATGAACTTCCAGTAACGGGCAGTACCCCGGTCCAATATCAGCCGGATTATGGAGAGTCCACTGTAATTCAATATCCAATGAATAATAGTTCGACATGTGGCATAATCATATACAGTGCCTAAATTGTATCTCTGAACATACAAATATCCTATGTCCAATATACAAGTCAAATACTTCAAGAAAAATGGAAATGTCTAGATGTCCATCAATAATCACTGGATTTATTTGCTGCAAAATATCTAGAAAAGCAAATTCCCTCAATTAGCATAATTCACAGCAGCATTAAAAAATTTCATGTTGATGGTTGAATTGAACTGCTAAGTCGCTCAGCAGCCGGACGCCGGCACTCCGGCAAGTGACGCTCGCGCAATTGAAATAGCTGTCACTTCCAGTGTATCAAGATGAACGCTCTCTTCAAACTAGACGCCATTTTTTAAAAGATCAGCGTCGTCACTTAGTAGGCGCGCTTTCATTGCAACCCACTTGTTTTGTAGCATGGCGGCGCTTCTGAATCGCGCCGCGTCAGAGACTTGTTATAACTAGACCGCGCGTAACGTAGATTGTACTATAAACGCCTGTTGTCAAGATAGGATAGGCAACCAACTGTTCATCGCGGGGCAGACGTACGTTCTGCGGCTTGCTTTAGCCATGTTTATTGTAAATTTTAGTAGCAAAAAAAGATAACATATAGCTGTTAACTGTTTTAATCGAATTTATTGGTATTTTATTTGAACTAAATTGGTATATAACTGCCTTACTCTAGTCCTAATTTGATTTATATGTGTATTTTGGTGGTGAACACGTATCGGAAAATATACTCTTAAAACTAAAGATGTAAGTAGTAAGATATGATTATTTAGCGGATTTTGATTCAATGGCCCGTATGAATCAAAGTAAGCAAATGCTTATACTTGCAAAATTCAAAGTAAATACTCGTAAGTGCTCCTTCGCACTGGGCGACTTAGCACCGCTTCTAAGCAGAAGGACAGGACACAGTACAGCGCTGCTAAACCATGCTAAACAGACCAGTATGAAGGGGCAGTTACGAGTATTTACTTTGAATTTTGCAAGTATAAGCATTTGCTTACTTTTATTCATACGGGCCATTATATGCCTATCCAAAAACCCAAATGGGCTGTAACTGTTATTTATTTTTCTTAGACTGCTGATAACCATTTTGTTTACAACGCGGTGTGGTGTGGATTGAATGAAAAACCTGAACACATTTTCAGCAATAATTTGGCAAATTTTTAATGCATCGCTTGATACGTGCAACAATCCTCCACGATTTTTTTCTAGTTAAAAGCTTTGAATGACTCTCTGATGCGAATATCGCATCTGCACATATGGAACATTTAACAGACTTAGCTATTTTTCTTGTAACAAAACCTGAAATATATTTAATGCCAGTAAGTACTTAGTTACGTCTATACCTAATAGGCAAATAGGTATTGCCGTTGTCTTGCTGGTAAAGGATGTCGAATAATAGTTCTACGTTATTTTAAGTGAATGGGAATGTCGAAAACGCTCGGTATTGCATTATTGTTTAACACCTTCGTAGGTACCTTTCTAAAATCGGCTTCATTCCCCGCAAATGCACTATGGTGGGAGTAAATTTTTCTCTTCGAATGGCTCTGATCCATTGGCCCTTGTAAACTTTTATCCGTTGAAAATCAGCATATTATTTAAAAATTTATCGACAGAGTACATGTTGATAGGCACAAGCTAACCTAAGTTTATTGGTTTATTCTCAACAGAAATTTATCTGTTCACTAATTCGAGCTAATCACGAGAATGATTAATGAACGGAACATCTAAAATAACAGCTTATTTCATTATATTGCATATCATCTCAGCGATTTTTGCCCCGCGGTGCATTGTGTGTTGCATACTGTGTCGACAACACCTTAGATACGTTACGCGCAGTCTAGTTATAGCAAGTCTCTGCGCCGCGTAAAGGAGTCGCGCTCTGTGGAGCTTCAAAAACGGCTCATGAGAAGGGGCTCTAATCTCCTTGTGCTGTCAGCTGTCATTGTCACGTCTGTTACTAAGTATGGCAAGCATGTACTGTTGTCGATAATAGTCTGTAAGAGCTAGTGGCATATTTTTTAAACAGTTTCATTATTGTTGATATTTGGATATAAGATAGTTATGCATATCCGAGTATCCGGCAGCAATTTCGCGGATGGCGCGGCGGTGGTGGGTGGTTCAATTAAAATTAGGTACATTACCTTTATGAAATGGCAAATGGCACAAATCTTACATAAAAATTGATAATTAGAATGACAACAAATTCAACTGTAGGTACATTGTTTAAAAATTGCTGATATAAAAATTACGACACTACTCAAGTGACCCAATCAATTCTGTGCTTATTCGTAAATAATTCGCCGAAATGTACTCTAATAAATTCAAAAACTTCTTATAAACCCTATCATTATTTTTAGGTTTTTAAACCGAAATAACGTCTACAAGACATTCAGCCTTTGAAGTATCAGTAACGTTAACTTTAACTTGCAGGTTATCTGTAGAAAACGTTATTTTGCCCATACTAAATTAAAATAACGCAAAATAACGTTTTTTTGACACCGTTGACGTTTCTGATACATCACAGGACTGAATGTTACACAACATTATCGATTTATGTTTTTAAGTATTTGATTGATTTGATATGACTGAGAGACCTGAGTCACCTGTTTATATCTAGAAAGTAATGAACTGTTGTAAATCGTTAGTATTAGAAATACAGAAATATGCAAAGAAACAAAAATTGTAGATTTTTTTCCGCTTAATAAGATCATTGAATAATAAATCTGAATAGAAAGACAACGCAATGCTTTTTGAAGGGTCCACTTTAACGGAGTTTCTCCGTAGGTTGCCCTCTGGGACAAACTCCGCTTATTAAAAGTAACTAAATTTTAATCGAGGTTTTATACCACCTACTCAACTGAATCAAAGTGATTAGATTTCTTTAGATGACGCTACTTTCGCGTACTTATCTCGTAGACTGTGTGGGAGTTATAACAGCACGTGAAGATCGTATTGCAATATTATCTCTGTATTTACCAACTTATGCTTACGTAATACATATTATTATTTGCACACCTCTTAAGGAAATGACATCAAAGTTATCAACTTACAAGTAAATCTTGATTCAAACGATCTTACCTTATGTAGACTTTGAGATCGAAATTAAACTTTACTATTATTGTACCTATAGACAATGTTTTGGAATATTTCAGAATATGCAATATACTGTCAGTTGTGCGAGCATTTACAGATATTGTTTAATTGCTGTTTCCGTATATAAATTATAAATGCACAAATAACATGTTTTTGAGACAAAATTTGGAATTAAGTACTACTACTTTAAACAACAACTTTAACATTCAAATGAGAGAAGTGCAATATAATCTATTATGATATGAAATGAAAGGTTTTTTAAATCGGCTTCATGAAAGAAATTGTATTGCACTTTTACGAAACTAAGACTCGAAAACGCCATGCCGGCACTTTTGATTCTAAAACCTCTTTCTACGCCTCTCTTGTAACAGATTTTTGATATTTTTTAAATATTAATAATTACGGCACCCGAAAATACCATAAATATCAAGTACTTCTACAATTATTTATGCAAAATTCGAGTATTAAATCAAAAATCTGTTACAATAGAGGCATAGATGTGTCCTTTATCTTTACATCGGCACCTAACAACACGGGATAGAATCCAATTTACTCAAAACGTTATACTAAGTCCCACACCTAGACACGCTATTCGGCCCATATAATTTCTATTGAAGCACTTTCCTAGTCGTATACAGAGAACGGCCTCTTAAGTTTACGGATCGAATAAGAAATTTCAAAGCTATTATGAATTTCCATAGCAAGAGAAAAGACGCAGTCGTCAATCGCATTGAATGGAATGTTTTTTACCGTGAAAAAATAAATCAAGAGAACATACATTTATCATAGGGTCCGTTCACTTAGCCCCCCATTAGCCCAAGAATGAACCAATTTTTTTTTATGTATTGTGCCCCAATTGTGCATTTATGCGCACCGTTTGTGTCTTTTTGGTTTCGGAGATAATAGCAAAAATCAAATGGGGGCTAAGTGAAAATTGACGATTGAAAATATCTGAAATCATCTTAACAAAAACTAAAACTTGTAATATATACAGACATGGAAAGGTAAGGATGTCATTTAAAGTTTGTTATACAGGGTGAAAATTGGGTGATAAGAGGGCCGAGGGGTTCAAGATAAGCACTTTTTTTCAAATAAACCGAGGGTCAAACGTGTTTTGTTTAGGAGCCACCCCCAAAAGAAGTGGTGAAATTTGGAGTTCTTTAATTTTTTTCTCAGCAATCATAAGAGTTACTTTAGTATTGTCTTACTGGAAGAAAGGGCATCAACAAACTGCTCAACGCAATTGGCACACAAACATAATTATTAATATTATAGAAAACATGTAAGTAAACAAGCGACAGCACTACTGACGTACCGCGCGGTCGCTGCCGTCCTCCGTAACGTGTCCCTTCATTCTTCCATCGCTTCCCTAACCCGCACGGCGCACGTGCGTACTGAAACGATCATTACACAACAGTTACAAAGATGAGTGACACGTTTTTGATTAGGTTTTCGGGTATGCCCTTTCCGATTTTGAAAAAACATTTTCAAAATTCCAACCACGGAAGGGCGCACTCCTGCTTCGACGAAATTTGGTGCCTGGGGGATTTTGAACATGAAAATCACGAATCTGGAATTAGTTTTTAAAAATTCGACAAAAAAGTTCCACTGCAATTCTTGGCCGGACAACGAAAATGGAGAGAATTCCACGAAATTGATTGTGTACCTTAGACCATATAGTACATGGACTGCTAATTGTAACTAAAATATGGTCAAGGACATCGCCTGGGTATGTGAGTTTCAGGGTAAACGAGTCTGTCCGAAGTTGTCCGATGAGACACGATTTGGGACTGTCAACCTATAAATTAACAAACGTCAATTAATTAATCGCCTAGATATCCCAAAAAAAGCAAACTTATTCCTATTTGTGGACGTATAGCAAATTTTGAAGAGTATTTAAAGCTTCCCGTACTACGCGGATACTATAAAGCTGCTCTTTAAGCGATCCTAGTGGTGTTTACACGACTTTAGTTTACCCTGAGATTCACATACCCACGACTACAGTGCCCTCTATCCGTGACCATCCATTTTGTATTGAAAGCATAGGGCGAATAGCAGTCCATGTACTATATGGTCTAAGTTGTGTACATACTGGATGAGTTAAGGAACAAAATTTTAAAATAACTTTTCAAACAAAAGTTATAGGTACGTACTCATCGTTTAAAGAATGGGCCTTGGGGTTACAAAGTGTCTCTCGCCTACTAATAGTGAATGATCTAATTTCGTATGTAGTTAGTTGAAAATGTCACAAATAACAAAAAAATTACGATTTCAGTTGCCCCCATTTGATTTTTCCTATAATCTCCGAAACCAAAAAGGTACAAACGGTGAGCATAAAAGCACCATTACGGACAATCGAAGTACTACGCAATACCGTCGTTGACCAATAAACAAAGTTTAATTTGGGGGGGGGAGGGGGCTAAGCGTTCACTTAGCCTCCAATGCATTTGTCCTATTATCTCCAAAACCAAAAAGGCACAAACGGTGGCATAAATGCACTATTGAGCACAATTGATTATTGACGCACAATACGTAAAAAAAATTGGTTCATTTTTGACTAAGTGAACGGACTCTATCATATTATAGCATAGGTATTGTCTAATTATCTTGTCTCCAATAATTGACTTTTTACGTTCTGCAACAACGTTGTTATTATTATTGAATTAAGAACTTAAAAATTAAGTCGAATATTCATCTGAAAACTATATTTAGACGATCGTTGTATCAAAGGTATCCAGTTACCTACGTGAGTAAGTTTATCAATGGCATGATGTCACCGTAGTCAAAACATTCTCTCTCACCTCTCTACTCATTTTGAAGTGAGTATCTCGGCTATATTATATTAATTAAAAAATGTTGAAGAGTTTCCTTTAATCACGTTTTGTTACTTGCCGTACGATACCAGCACATTCTAGATAATAAAAACTGGCCACCTTTTCTCCTATCTCACTGACCTTCTATTCAGATTTATTATTCAATGATAAGATACATTTATTAATATTTATTCTTTTATAATTTTCGAGTTATAACGCAAACTTACATTTTTTAAATGGTAATCATAGTTGGCTGTGACATTTTTAAAAAGTGCATTTTTTCTGTTTACAATGATATAAGGTTCCTTGTACTTGCAGTTACTTGTGCAACAGGGTACCGTTGTGTTGAAACCAGCGTAAATTACGTCGTGTTTCCAAATCTAACCCATCCTACATATCTTGAAATTCATTTGATAGAAAATGAAGATAACATTGGCCTGTCCAATTTTCGTCGTAAATGAAAGGTACCTATCTCACTAGATATTCTTTTCCATGGCTAACTCTGTTTACTTACCTCTCAATAATACGAAAATTACTGCAGGGCGTTTATTTATTAAAGTACATTTAGCAAGCCTTATATCGTTATAAAGAGAAAAATTTGTCCTTTTTAAAAATGTCAAAGCCAACTGTGACTACCATTTAAAAAAATTAAAGTTTGTATTATAACACAGAAATTGTAAGATCTAAAAATAAATTAGTATGTTCATCATGTTAAGCATTAAAATGTCTAAAACTTTTATTTGTGTTATTTTGTTGTATTTAATAATAATAATAATATGATTTATTGCCCAACAGTCAAATTCCAATTATAGGATAATTACTAATCTAAGAAAGCACAATAACTAAATATACTAATATCTTAACCGCTAACCTAATAAAAACCAAATTAAATGATATTAAACTTAAACAAGATTAAAAATAAGATTAAAAATATTCCATCAATCTCTCGATCAATCTTTTAAGATCAGATACTGAACAAGTGTTCATGTCACACATATTAGCAATTTTGTTAAAGTTGCTTACCATAACAAATATAGGTGATTTACAAAGTAAGTTTGTATTGGCCTTAGCACAATTGAAAGTATATACATTACGAGCCGAAGAACGTGGCACATGAAACCGAATAAGGGAAAGAAGAGATGGACAATCTAGGTTATTATGTAACAAATTGAAGAGAAAGTTAAGGCTTGACAGAGTTGTGCGAACTTCTAAGGAATGTATCTGAAATCGAGATAACAGTAGTTGATGATCAGTACCAATTGCGGGATAAACTCTGTCCAATTTAAACGATAAAAACTTCAGAAACTTACGCTGCACTGCTTCCAGGGTTGTTTTATGGCAATCATAGTAAGGATACCAAATAAGAGAACCATACTCTAGTTTGGATCGCACATAAGCAGCATATAGAGATTTGATAGCAAAAATATTGGAAAAATCACGACAATTTCTGATAATAAAGCCAAGCATTTTTAAAGCAGAAGCAATAGTCACCGATATATGTTCCGAAAAGGAAAGTTTAAAATCAAATATAATACCCAAATCCGTGACCGATGTACACCGTTTAAACTGAATATCATTAAATTGATAAGGATGTAAAAGAGGTTGAGATTTTCTTGAAAATGAAACTACTTTGCATTTAGACATGTTTAAGTGAAGGTTGTTTTTTGAACACCATTGACCAAGTTTATTTATTTGTGTTTGGAGGTAAACGCAATCATCATTACTGGATGTAAAAATCTTTAAATCGTCAGCGAATAATAAGGTGTTACAGGAAAGTAGAGAAGGCAAATCATTTATGAAGATTAAGAACAGTAGGGGACCGAGGTTAGATCCTTGCGGAACTCCTGACGTAACCACAGCAGAGTCAGATATGTAATTCTTGTATTGCACACGTTGTAGTCTACCACTAAGGTATGATTACCTATTTCTAATTATAACGATTCTACAACAGTTAAATGAAAAATTACTAAATCTGTTTTTCACTCATATCTAGTGAACTGTGGATTTTTTCGAAAAACAAAAGCATATCTTAAATAAGCTCTTAAAACGACAACTCTTTTCTCATTTAACCGAATCCGTATGTCTTATGGTTTCCGAGATCTCAATTCTTAAAATGAAAAAAAACTCACCCTGCATTTGAACTACAAATTTACTACGTTATGAAAATTGTACAGACACCAACCAACCATGTTCATCATTCATTCATTACTTTCTAGATATAACAGGTGACTCAGGTCTCTCCCAAAGGAAATCTACTTTATTTATGCCCGGTTTCACAAACAATGATTAAGGTTAATCAATGATTAAAAATATTAGAATGCTAGCCACCTTTCATTATACGCTCAGATGTTTCCCATTCTAATATTTTTAATCAGTGATTAACCTTAATAATCCTTTGTGAAACTGGGCATAAATCTTTTAAACGTTTGCTGCTGTTATTTATTGTTACCATACTAACTTTGTAGGAATTAAATGAAGTCGCTGAAACCGTACAAAAAACAAAAGAATCACAACGTCTTACTGTGATGTGCAATGCGTTGGAAAATGTTCACCAAAATTTAGTTGACAATTCAACTAGTCTACCATTATCACCTACACTTCAAGTATCAGGCATACAAGTTCGGAGCTGTTCCTATTTTCCATCCAACACCCTTCCATTAAAAATCAATTTCTTAGCCCGTGATGGTTCGGTAATACCCGCGATTTACAAAGTAAGTGATCTGTAAGCTATACAAACTTTTAATTACTTTGTTAAACATTAGGTCGGCGATGATTTGCAGCAAGATCAATTAACATTGCAAATTGTGCGCATTATGGATAAGATGTGGCTGCGGCAAGGTTTAGATTTGAAAATGGTAACGTTTTTATGTATTCCTACCGGAAACAAACGAGGAATGATTGAAATGGTTACCAAAGCGGAGACGTTGCGAAAAATTCAAGTGGAGCACGGTTTAACCGGTTCATTTAAGGATAAACCCATAGCCGAGTGGCTTGCAAAACATAATCCGTCGGAGTTGGAGTATGGACGCGCCGTTGAGAATTTCACAGGTTTATTTTTAGTTATGTAATGAACTTTTACTAACTTTGTTTTCTCCAGCTTCTTGTGCCGGATATTGCGTTGTGACTTATGTTTTGGGTGTGGGAGATCGGCATAATGACAACATTATGCTCAAAACTTCCGGTCATTTGTTCCACATAGATTTTGGAAAATTTCTAGGAGATGCTCAAATGTTTGGAAACTTTAAACGGTAAACGGTCACCTGTGCCAATTTGAAAATCATTACATTTAATGTTGCAGAGATCGTAGTCCATTTGTGTTAACTTCCGACATGGCATATGTGATAAATGGTTGTGATAGACCATCGGAAAAGTTTCACAAATTTGTAGACCTCTGCTGTCAAGCGTTTAATATAGTTAGGAATAATGGCAATCTATTTTTGCATTTATTTACTTTGGTAAGTAGCACAGCTTTGAAACGAATTGCCTTGATCGGTTCAGTTTAGATGGCTTCTTCGGGTATTCGAGGGGTGACTACGGAGGCAGTAAGCAACCTGCACAAAGCTCTACTACCGGGCCTCTCAAATCCTGAGGCAGCTGCCTATTTCGCCCGACTTATTGAGAGTTCGCTCAAATCATGGTTTACGCAGGTGAACTTCTTCCTACATAATTTGGCTCAACTCAAATTTACCGGTGATCATGGTGATAACCAGCTTTTGTCATTTGTACCAAAAACTTATAGGTAAATGGTAAAATGTTTTCTGTCCTGTTGAAAGTAACATTTATGTTCTTTAGCATGGCTACAGATGGAAAATTGGTCCACGTTTCGGTGATAGGGTTTAGAAAGAGGTATGATCCTGATAAATATTATGTTTACATACTTAGGGTGGAGCGAGAAAACCAAGGACAGCACTTAGATGTGCTGCGCACATATAAAGAATTTTGCGAATTGCACCAAAAGCTTTGTTTACATTTTCCATTGGCAAAGCTGCACAGGTACGAATTTTCTATTTATTTATTTTATATTTAATTTTTTTAATAATTTACCGGATGGCCAAATAAGAATGGCGGGTGGGTATATTTTACCACGTAATAGCGTTTCAGTAAAAATTTACATTTGCATTTTCTGCTAGTCTAACAATTGGTTTGCTGAAAGGATAGCGATTAAATCAAAACAAATGTATCAAATGTTTCATTATTCTCAGCACAATTTTGTCTACTCCTTCTCAAAAACAAAAGTTCAAATTATAGATATTAACGATTTTTTAAGCTAATTCAACATACCTAAACCATAAAATGTAATTAACTTCAATACCAGGGGTCAATTTCGTACTATATTCGTATTAGTATTATTTTGGAGTGCATGTTTCGATTGTAGCATGAGACTAAAAATAATTCCCAGCATTTTGTCTTGACCACAATTAGATAAAAAGAAGTTTACCTGAAAGTTCTATATTACTGCCTAAGATGTAACCACCATTATAATGTAGCCACCCGATACTTACTAGCTAATGCGCACATGCTTTTTGTAAAAGGCTCTTCTTTGAATCCACATTTTATTCAATCTTTACTGGGAATTCTAAGCCTTGGACGCGGTATGGGAGGTTTTTCCTCAAAAAAGATACTTGATGCTTGACTGCTGTATGCTTTCCCAGAATCATTTGCATTTCCAACATTGTCGGTTGAAGAGGCTACAGCATTTGAGACTGTTCTATTACTTAAAGGTGATTCATCGTCTATGTTTTGCCAATTAACATTTCTTTTCTCATCATTACTTTGACTTTGAGTCGCAAGTATTAACGGAGAACTGTTATCTTCTTCATCAATGATGCTATATTCATTTAATTCCTCTAGGCTGACATTTGGAGCTGCCTTTTTTAAAATTCCTTTCAGCTTTTGGGTTTCTCCATTGGTTTCATACGCAATCAACTGACTTGTTTGTGGCGTTAAGGTAGTGAAGACGGGGATGCTGTCAGTCCAATCTTTTGTTTCTGTCTTTGGGGGCGCTGTCGACAATAAAACGTTGTGCGGTAATAACGAAAATACTCTACTTACATAGTGGCTCAGTGAATTCAGACTGGCTAAAGTATCGCAAACAGACCATTTCGGGGGTAAATTGCTTTTTCTTCCAAATGAGTTTTCCGCTAAATCTTTTGAATTTGAATCCCATTCTTGATATTACTATGTAAGCAGCATGTGAAATTACTTTGTGATCTTTAGATAAACATTTTACTTACAGTTTAGGGCTACAGATAAGAAATACCATGTATATGGCTTATCTAAGGTGATTAAGTACTTGTATCGCTAATCTGTGGTTAGAAGTATTTTGCAGTTTAAGCAATCATTGATAATATTAATTATATTAAGCTAAGGACAACAACATTTCGTTTTGTGTACTTTGTGTATATAGGTTATTTGGTAACCCGTTTACTTTAGTATTTTTAGTATATCCTGGTTGGTCGAAATATTATTTTGAGTCATCCACTTTATACAGTCGATATCAAACCTTAGATTAGATAAATGGATAAATCTCCAATGCTACGCCCTTCGCTTTTTTGCATAAGATATGCCGTTTGCTAGATTTGTTATATTTTAGTACCTATCATTCTGTTAGCTTGATTTTACATTACAAATGTTGACTGTGATTCAAAATTGGAAGCAACAAGGAATGATCGAACATAAACTTCAAAATCAGGGAAAAAGTTTGAAGAAATGAAATAAAATTCAAAAATACTAAAATCAGTAAAATCTATTATGTACAGGGTAGACCATTAGTGCGTGGGTGGAAGATTGTGGATTTATTAACGCACATATTTAAAATTCGTTGTCGGAGCATTTTCAAGAGACTGTTAAGGCTACAACCTAAAAATATACGAACGAACAAACGAAGAGTTTTTGTTTTGTTTTGTTTGGGATAAATGTTTTATAATTAGAATTGGTGCTTTTTTAACGGCCTACGAATTACTGACAGGCTTTGAAAATCACATTAGAAATTATTGAACTACAAAAAATATGTAAAAGTTAAGAGTCTTCTTTACCTAAGCGCAACTTTTTTACATTATGGTGTATAGATGATTATAGTTGCAAGTTAGTTCCCGTCGACACTATGCAGCGGCGCTACTTGTTACGCTCAAATTGTTGATTTACCGCCCGCCAAGATACAGACTTTATTTATCAAAAATATGATTTAATATTTTGGGGTAATGTTTAGAAGTAACTTATCTAAAAAACTGTCGGTTTACTTTTTTCATAAACCGTTTTGTTCCAGAATAAAAAAATAAAACAGATTAGCGCAATAATCGATGCAAAACATCTAATCTTTAAACAATCGGTATTCAATTGCTATAAACTTTTTTTAAAAAATAGCCCGAACATTTTGTGGATAAAGGTCTAAATTTATAAAATAGCCCTTAAAAAAAATGTTTTTTTGAAAAACAACTTGAGTTTTTATGGCGGGCGCTCTTATGGAAATTTACATTGGGTGCAGTGGGTACAGAAGACTCTTAATACCAACATGCTTATATCGTTAGAAAGGTAATTCAATCCTAGATTTGATGCAACAGAAAAAAAATTTGGTAGTTTCATTTAAAAAATCAAATGACCTTTGATTGAAATTTTCAAAAGTGAAAGAGGGATTTCTTTTTAACACAAAAAAGTTTAACTTTGACTGTTCGGCGAATGTTAGTACATTTCATGATTAGTAACATTGGAGAGTCGTTCTCTTTTAAAAAAATTACGAATTGCGACTAAACGACTCATTTTAGATATCGTGTGTAATCGAGACCTACGATACTTACAAGCCGGAGCGCTCGAAAAAGTCATGTGACCTTAGAAGTCAGTTCGGGAAACATTAAATACATTACGGCTTATGGAAAATCCGTGCGCAGCTTCACTATTTATTTTTTTACTCCGGATCCGTTTAACTTAGAGCCACGAAATTTCAATGAGAGCTGGTCAGTCGTACATGAAATTGAATTATAGTGTTTGTTAATTTTTAATATCACTGGGAATAATTAATTTTAAGGTTTAAAGTCTTTTTCTGTTTCTAGGAACGATATCATTATAATTCTTTTGTTGTCTTAAACTAGAATGATAGGCGCCTCCAATTATGCGTATATAATGCCTTATCTGGTATTAGTGTAGATTTAACAGGCCCTACAAAATCACGCATTAATTATCCGCGCAGAGCAAAATTCACCATGCGAGAAACTTTTTTGTTGTTGGTAGTGTATCACATATATCGAATGAATTGTTGCCAAAGGATACAAAAATGTTTTTCAGAAGGAATTTTTAAGAAATGGTCTTTTGTTTCCTTTTTTCAGCAGTTTTAGTAAATAGCGCGACTTCCGGAACATGCGAACGCACAATGGAAATTATTTTTTAAATAATTATTACTAATGGACTTTCAAATAGTGTTTGTAATATGTAGAAAATTATTAAACTTACAAAATTAAAAATATTATATACAGGGTTAGTCAAAAGTATGGAATATATCATATTTTCCTTAATATTAATTTTACATTATAGCTCCCGGAAAATTTGCGTTTAGAACAATTCGCTCCCGTAGAATTCTAACAGAATGTGAGTTTTTCTAATAATTTTTAGAGCTTATTCCCTAGGAAGTGGCTGGTGTAGAATGTTTTTAAAATTATGCACATTCGCTCGGAAGCCACTGCAGAAGTGTTATATTCATCATTTTTGGCAATTTCTTAATATTTTTGTTATTTATCTGGCTTCTTCTGTGCACGTCTCGCCGTCTACAAGATTTCATAGTCGGTGCAGAATAATCAGTAAGCAGACATTCCGGTTTTTTTATGTGTGCACCACAATATTCTCTATAATACTCACTACTATTAGAAATAGATGTCTACCACTCGTAAGTGGCAATTGTAAGACTTTTTTATTATTTGGTTGATATACGAAGAACAGATTTTAAAGATAATTCGATTTATAGTAAAAATGTGGCATATGCAAGCGTCAGTTTATTGTAAAAATAATGATTGATTCAGGGTTTTATATCTTTTATTCTGGGTAAAAGTCAAATAAATGTACTATGAAACAATTAAAAATAATGTTACAGGGTTTTTTATCTGTAGGTCCAAAGTTACAAAACTTCATTTTAAAAAATCTCACTATTTTTAAATGGAACAACCTGTATATTTGTATGTCATCTTTTAGCTCCGTCACAAACCTTCAACTTTTGGTAATAATGTGCTATACATATCTGTGATAGTTTTCGAAATATCTTGGTTTTTATATTCTAATCTTAAATAAGTTATGGATATTTCGTCCTGTATATCCTGTCAGTTAGAAGGCAATTTTTACCTGCCTCACTCAAAACGAAAATCATATCAAGTAGTCTCAAAACTTGATAGTAAAAACACTTGACTACAAAACGGATTTCATTTTTTTTGCATGGGCACCTCGTTATTATGTAAATTATATAAATTTAAGGAGCAATTTTTACGATAGACGGACGCTTGCAAATGCCGAATTTTTCTTATAAATTGAATTATTTTTAAAAGTACAAGTTCTGCATATATTAACCATATAATAAAAAAAAGTTGTACAATATGTACATGTAGAATTTAAAAAATGCATTCAAATACGGGGGGGGGGGGTATAATTAACAATATTTTTTAATTAACTCCTTTTTCTACATACTATTACGTCTAAAGCCCGTTGAACATGTTAAAAGTTATTTCACTTTCAACTGAAATTTTGCTAATACCAAGTTAAAAAATACAAGTTAATTCGACGCTTTTGATAACTTGTGTGTCTCTTATTTCTGTGCACTTGTAACCATGACTCAAATATCTACCTTTACGCCCATCATCACAATGACCAATGATAATAAATGTCCAATCTATGAGTTGGTAGCCCCAAAATTTCATCTGAAAGTGAAATATTTCGCGTCCGAACCAAACAGTTATTTCACTTTCAAGAAAAGCATGTATTGCGCATGCCCTCGGCTAAGAGAATTTCAACTTTCAGCATGTAAAACGCGAGCAATTTTGTAAAAGATTGAACGTGCACATTTTTTCATACCTATTTATTTAGTGAGAATCAGTAGCGAACCAGCTGTATATCGAGTGGGTACATTTCCTAAACAAATCTCTGGCGTGCGCATGAGGCTTGCGTATCGGGGATGTTAGGGGAACATAGCAAGGTGTAAAGGCGAATAAATTGTCCTCTTAAATATGGTTTTAATTAGCAACAACATATTCACAATGCGGCGTTCCCTTAATTCAGTAGTGATCAAAATTCAAATGATCTCTTAGCACCACATCCATCTCCAAGAAGTTGTGGAGGTACCATCCTCTCTTCCTAGTTAACTAGTACTGATTTTTATTTAGTTTTGCTGATTTAGACACATCGGGTGTTTGATTTCCCCGGTACCACGCATGTCTTAGAGGAATTCCCATACAGGTTTCACGATTCTATTATGCCCCACAAATTTCTAAAAGGAGTAGGACTGAGGGCAAGATGTTATAATGTAAAGGAATAACCTTCTCATAATTAGGATTTAGTTCAATAATTGTGAGAGAAAAAAATGAGTTACCCACATTTGATTTTAGCTTATCAACTGGGCTCCACATGGGTAGATCAAATATTAAACAAGTTGCAGCAAAACGTTTACACGACGTCAGTCTATTTATTAGATCGCTTTTCCAAACGGCAGACGAAATTGCTCATTCTGATCTTGTATATACCTTCTTTCATCCTCTTCTAAGAGACCAACAGATACCCGACCAATTTTCGAGAAAAGCTAAAGGTGAACTATCATTCTGTTCACAGTAAATTGTATAATTATTTGACACTTTGTCTAGATCGGAGGTTTGATGAACGAAACGACATTGGAAAATTGAAGGGGCAATTAAAATTGACCACTCATTTCAGTCGAGGAATTTTTACTGTCATGGTTCATCATGCTAGAGGGCTTCCCCTCGTAGGTAACGCTCAAGAACCGTCAACGTATGTTAAGGTCTACTTGCAACCTGATCCAACGAAGACGACCAAACGCAAAACAAAGGTTGTGAAGCGGAACTGTCATCCAAGCTTTATGGAAATGGTGAGTCTGCTTTACAGTAATAATAATCGAATAATCTCATTCGATTCATTAATCATTTGTGTTCCATTTAGTTGGAGTACAGAATGGCCCTCGATATTATTAAGCAAAGGGTGTTGAAAGCCACAGTTTGGAATCATGATCCGCTACAAGAGAACGAATTCCTGGGAGGTGTGGAATTAAATTTAAACGAGTTTGACCTCTGTAAGGAAATGACTGAATGGTATTCGCTCACTAACTTAAGCAGATAGCAGTATTGGCATATGTATGTACAAAAATGGTAGCAGTATTTATGATTTTATACATATACAAAATATTTGCATTTAAATATTTCATCATCTACATTTTTTAAGTTTTTATAGTGGGCTCTTGCTCTTGAAATAGGTGATTCGCACAATTAAACTGTAAAAGCGTTCATTTGCTTACTTTTATTTGTTTTGGTTATTATACCTAACGCTTTTTGTAACTGAAACAATATAATCCCAAAGCCACCTCAATTTCCATGAAATTGCTCATTTGCAAAAGTAACAATGTAATCATCTGATACAGCTTTTATTGTAATAATGTGGTATTTGAGTGCTATCAAATTGAACTTTGGGCACATTATTATTATAATGAGGGTTTTGCTAAAGGGATAGTCAAAAGTACCAAAGTTATAATTGTCAATTATTAATTGTTGTTTTATTATTTTGTTAAGCTTAATTGTAGTTCATCTACCGTGGGAGGTCCTTGTATAAATAATCTAAGGCTTATTGGATCTGACATAATTGTTGCTCTGGGTTCATTTGTCATAATTGATAGTTTTAATTTTATCAATGTTTAAGATCGCTTTACATTATTATTATTTAAATTGTATATTAACTGTTAATTATTTTAATGTCAATTTTAGAGCTATTTATTAATTGTCAATTCGTACCTAGCTATCTTTTAAACCTAATCATGTCATATTCATTTACATTAACATTCCTATATTAAATCAAATCATTTACATCTTATACAACTAAATAGAGATATTTATTTTATAAACTTTTCTTTAAGTTACTATCATACTAGCATTATAACTGTACTCGTAGATAGGTATGTAATTGATAAGTTTTGTACCTATACAAAAAATATATACATTTGTACTACATTTACAGTTTTTCATGGCACTTTTTGCAGATTTATGTGCCTAAAACGTCATTGAGATAGATAATAGTGCAGTGTCGTTGCCTTAGTCACTAAGGCTTAGTGTGTGTGTGTGTTGGCAACCACAGCTGCTTTGCTTTTGTTGAAAGTAAATGGATGTAATAAGAATAGAAAGCGTCTTTGGCGGGTTCATGTTATAGCAACGATTAGATCGCCATGTCACATATGTTGCGTTTCTATTGGTGCTTGCTGGCCCCAGTGCAGTGCAGAAAATTTGAAGTTTCAATTCTTTCGGCATGCGGCTGCAAGTGGCCTGCACTCCGCAGATCACTGAATGATCGTATGGGTATTTGTATTTCAACCAATTATACAAAGACGCCGCGCCGCAACGCAACATTTTTTAAATAGCTATGGAACACGGAGAACTACTCGAACACCTTTTATAAATAAAAATATCTAGCAGACCGAGAATATTTTTGGAAAAACAAAAGGTGTTTCGAGTGATGCACATGCAACTGCAAGTTTTTCCCCAGATATTCGTATCTCTTAATATATGGTGTTTCAACTGCATTACTGTTTACTAGACTTTTTGTGCTGGTCATAGATCAAAATATTTGTAGAACTCGATATTCAATTCGATCTAATCAACACATTCTGAGAATAGCTAATTTCTTGTTCACTTTTAAGTTTTTTAGAGCATCCCTAGCAACGCTATACAAATTCACCTTGGTATATCAATTCCGGGAAAGATATTTACATTTTTTGTTATACAATGGGTCACCCAGTACTCCATAGGGACGTCAAAGAAAGATTCTTCTGTTCTTTAAGCACGATGCGACTTTCTATGTACTGTGCTTATTCCATTCACCAGTTGGTCTCCTTTAGTTTTGATTTGTCCTGCATTTTGTCCCTCCACAAAATGGTACTAAATTGTTGGGCTCTTCTCATAGCTCGACCTTCTGCTGGTGACACGAGAAAGAGAGACCTCGATTGGAACTTTAAGAAACTTTAAACTTCGTGGAACAATTCGCGGCGGAAGTTAACTTTTCAGCCCCCAAAATTGACTACCCCTCGAAGACGCGCGATTTTCAAAAGGTGGTTAATTTGGCCCGTATGAATAAAACAAAATTCCGTCACGCAGGAGTTATGCGCGTTTACAAGATCTTTCCAGCGACACCCGTTTGAAAACAATCGATTAGTAAACCACGCTTGGGGATGGCGCCCAGATATCACCGACCACACATTATGTAGCCCCATCCCTAAAGTTGTTAGTTACACAGCCCCTCTGTAGGTACACGGTACACGTACACTCCTCGTCTTATTAGGCGTGAGTTTTTTGAGTTCGGACATGGATCGGTAAAATTTTGAATATTCTCTTCGGTTGTCACCCGCGCATTTATGCGAAGCGTGGAGAGTAACGAGTCCTAGTTGCTCTTTAGACCATCCGCGCGTCAAACGACTCGCTTCTTCGATTCGGCCCGCCCAAGTGAACGGGTTACCATTAAATTATATGTAAACTTCAAAGGCGAAAAAAGCGCAACGCTTCCCTTCACGGCGCTTCGCCTAAGTGAGCGAGCCCCTTTATTATACCTACTTAATTAATGGTCTGTCTACCCTCGAGCTTTTTAACTCGTCGCCCTCGAGAATATAAACATCACTTTTATGCCCTTAATACATATAAAATAACTATTATGGCAGAAGCCATAGAAACCATTATAACACTTTTGAAAATTTTGTAGGTCTAATTTATACGTCTAAGATAGCAAGCTTAGGTACTCCCGTTGTTTCCACGGAAAGAATATTGTTCTGTTCTGAACTTCATTTTACTTCGTGCTCGCGTTTCATTTTTAGTAAGAATGTCAAATATCATTGGAGTGCTCAATGATTTGTTTCACTTTATCTACCCTTACTGTTAAATAGACACTTATCCTCCTCATACAAACCTATTAAAATGTAATTTTTTCTTAAGCCACATCCAGAAAGTTGTCTGCTACCATATCCTGGCTACGAGCCTGGCCCTCATTTGCTACCCGCCAGCCGGAAGACCAAACTGAGATTAAAAGCTTCCTTTTTACAAATAAATGCGCTAAAAATGGCTCTTTGTATCAACTTTAATTTTGTATTTTTTATATTTGGTTCTTTTGGATGACGAGTTTTCCAACCATACTGTCATTAGAACCTGTTATTTAGTAGGTAATGCCACTGTTCTATAGTGCTGCGGTATTTACCTTACGAATTAGGAAAACTACGGACCTGTGAGGAAAACCTAATTCGGAGTAGCAAACAGAATGCTCGTGACTGACCTAAGGAATTTCCCATTTCTACCGCAGATGAAAAATTCTTTCCTCAATGGCTTAGACAAGTGGAAAAAAATGGTCGGCAACCAACCCCCCTCCGACTGAGGTTCCTGTGGCAGATATACGAGGGTCGCGTCACGTCGCAACATTAAGAGAATGGGTTGAAAAGTTTGTGTGCCAAATCTCACAGCTTTACTCAAAAGTACCGAGTGTTCAATAATGCTGGTAGATTCCATCAATGTATACCGTGTGTTCATTAAAACTTCAGGTATAATTCCATGTACGAAAACGGGTACTTCGCTACAAATTAACCAAGAAAATTTACACATTCATTTAAATTGGTGCCGTTAATTACCGGAGTATAAAAAATAACGTATAGCACCATTTTCAGACAAGACTGATTGTCATCGTTAAGCTGTACGTACAGTTTGAACGTCCTTGTCGAGATCGCGTACAAGTCGTTGAAGTCAAATTGCCTCTTGCGATGCCTCCGACAGGATCCGATTCAATCAACAGACCTTGCCTTCGGCTCTTTTGACAACGAACCCTAGCGGCTGTCGCATGAATATCTCTTCCTCAAGGTCACTGTTTAGAAACGCTGTTTTTATGTCGTACTGCCTTACGACCATTCCTCGCTTCACCGCGACTGACATCGACGCTCGGAAAGTTGTTTGCCGAACAATGGGTGAGAACACTTCATCCTACTCCTTCACTTGTCGTAATTGGGTCCAGACAGCCTCTCCTTCAGCGTCGTCGGGTCCTCCCGAATTCCAGTCTCTGCCCGCATAAGCGTATCGAGCAGGCACACACTCAGGTGGAGCCACCCTCGAAATCGGGCTTGATGGAGTCACACTTTCTGGAGGCCGCATAGAACTGAAGCTGTTCAAGAATTTTACATCACGGTTAATCGTAATTGTTTCTGTTGATACCTCAATCAGACGAAAGTACGCCTTCGACACCTCACTATAATCCATACATTTCCTTGTTTTTGTTCAGCTTACTGCGCTTTTCTTACGGTAGTTAGTAGTAAACGTCAACACCGAAGGGATGAACGTGTTTTAGATTAGGTTTTACTCCATGCCAGCGTTCATTAGCGTCACGGGATCGTACGAGAAGGGAGATGATTTTGAAGACAGCAGTTATTATGGCTTCGCCCCAGAACCGGTCGTGGAGTCCGGCGGCCCTGTTTTACGTTCGTAAGCAACGCTATGACCTGAAGTACACTAGGAAAGGAACGTAAAATAAGACACTGAACTTGTGAAAAGTTTGTTTAATAATGGTCGTTACTATTAATATTGTGAAAGCCCGGAACTGTAGTTGATGTACATTAATGTAGGTAAAGCCAAAAGTAACCGCCAAGGGTAAAAAGAGTACGGCGGAGAAAACCTCGCAGTTTGATTAATACAATCCAAAAGTTCGTTAACAAAATAATTTGTTTTTAATTATCAAGTTTAAGTAGTGGTTCAAAGATAGTAAATGCTATACACCAAGTTGGTTACAACACCTGTAGTGTACTTAACCCCCAGGTTCTACGCTAACTTCACACTACAAGAACACGGAAATAAAATCAACCCGGCAACGTTTAAAAATGGCCACCCGAATGACTATTCCCTCTAAAACTAATAGCGTTTTCGATTGGCAAAACTCGTACTGCACGAGTGTTGCACGAGAAACTGAAGAAATCCATGTGAAAATTGTTCCCAATGGAACATAAATATTCGTAAATATTTGCTGTCATTTGTCCATAACCTCATTTTAGATTTGTATTTATACAATGATTTAGGTAATCGACAAATCTGTATTCTAAAAAATGACTGAAACGATTTCACTACCCTGTTGTAAATGCCTTATAGGAACCAATAAATTTTTTTATTGGGTCCTATTGGCACCAATATGTGTATATTGCCATTGAGAATTACCCCATCAAAACTTATAAAAATATGACTTGGGAATTCCGTTATGTGCCAATAGGACCCAATCATTACACATTACAATATAATACGCTCCAATCAGCATTCCCATACAAATTATTCATTTCCCAACCATTTCCAATGAAATTTGTCCCAATAGAAACTTATTAAGATTTGATTAGGAAAGTCCACTGGATACCAATAGGATTCATTCGTTACGGATAAATACACAATAGAAACTTATTTATATCCTATAGAATTCAACCACTTCCCAACCATATTCTATAAAAACCTATAGAAAGTTTAGGGAAAATATTCTATAAATAGAAATGTGATTCATTGTTTTAAAGTTCCTTTTGCGGCTAGGAGAACTTCAGAAAATGTCAGAATTTCGCAAACGCAAAAGAGTTAATAAGCAGTACCTTGTACCAAATGTGAATCCCTTAGTTAGTGAAAGAACAATACGACATTGGAAACAAGTTGGTAAGATGATAAATATTGATTGTACCTAAATATTGATCATTAGCCCTTGAAGACTTATTACTTTCTCACTCTCAACTTTGCAACATGGTATACATAGTAAATATTAGCTTTTCTTTAGACTTCTATTCAAAAAATGTGTTGACTAATGGTATTATAATATGCTCTATTGCTCTTTAGTATTAATAGCCGATAGTAAGTGTTCAAACTCCACATTAAATTTGTGAATATTGTCAATTGTACAGCATTGTTCGCAAATTTCTGCAACAAACAGAACTTTCCGTTTCAGATAACATTCTAATAATTTCAATATCTCAGTATCTATTGAGTATATTGGGCCAAAGTTTACTAGGTATAAGTTAGTAAATATTATTTTTATCACCTACGCCCACTTCTTGTGAATCTTGCTGTACATAACATGCGATAAGTAACATTACACAACAAAGTTATTATTCTAGGCATATCGGTAAGCGTAGACACCGCAAGTATCTCAGCTCAAAATTTAGAAAACTCTCAGAGTGATGATATAAATGAAGCAAATGACGATAATTTGGAAATAAACCAACCACATGACCTAAAAAATACTATAGATGATCATATAATCCCAAGTGAGAAAAATTCAGATGTCGATGTCCACACGAATATTCCAAATGAAGATTCATTTGAACAGTTATGGAATAATAATGAAGAATATATTTTTAAAGAAGCAAAACTTACCCAAAAAGATGTCATGTGTATGGTATATGCCTTAAGTTTACAACACGGATTTACAAATGAAGCACAACAAGATATATTTGAAATGCTTAAGATATGTTCAAATAGTCTTGATGATGACTTATTTGACACCTCTAAGTATTATATGTCTAAAATGTTCGATCCTGATGACAGCGCTGTTCAATATACATTTTATTGTACAAAATGTAAAACAAAATTGGAGGAAAGTGTTACAAAAAAAAAATTTAAAAATCATATATCCATTTGTCCTAATGAAAATTGCCGGGAAGAACATCATTTAACCATAAATAGTGAAAATGTTTACATAATGATAGATCCGACACCCAGGATTGAATATTTGTTAAAAGAATCTGTCTTATTAGATCCAAAACCTTCAGAAAATAATTTAATATGTGACTATTATGATGGTGAAGTTTATAAAAACTTAAAAAATAAAGTAAAGTTTGATTTGACATACAACTTTAGTACAGATGGGGCTGCTATTTTTACGTCCTCCAAAAAGTCAATGTGGCCTGTTCAACTTTTCATTAATGAGATTTGTTCAAAAGATCGGTTTCATAAGTTGGTGTTTATAGGTGTTTGGGTTGGCAAATGTGAACCAGATGTACATTTAATGAACTTGATTATAGATGAGTTTAATGTAACGGCAAAGAAACTTTACGAAATTGGTGTAAAAGTTCGGTTTGACGAAGAAGAAAAGACTTATAAATTACTACCACTCTTTTGCTCAGTGGATTCAGTAGCAAGACCTGTAATTCAAAATCGTTTGAAATTTAATGGGTATTATGGATGTAGTTGGTGCTACCATTCAGGTACAAGTGTAATCAAGCGTGTAAAGTATGTGCATGAAGAAACTCCATCTACTTTAAGAACACACGATCTGCATATGAGAGACTTGAGAGAGTTACACGCTCAGAACTATGAAGTTACTAATATTAATGGAGTAAAGGGGCCAGCATCTATCTTATTAACACCGTACTTTGACATTGTGTGGTCATTTCCGCTAGATTATATGCATGGCGTTTTATTAGGTAAATTGAAGAACTGCAGAAAATTAAATATCTATTATCTTTTTTCCTTTCAGGTGTAGTGAAACAACTGTGGGATCTCTGGATTTCATTTAGCAACTCAAACAAACACACATATTATATTGGTAGACCTAACGATATTCAAGCAATCAACAAACATCTGTGCAACATAAGGCCGCCAAATGAGATACATAGGGCGCCCAGATCTATAATAGCAGAACGCTGTAAGTGGAAAGCTTCCGAATGGAAGAACTGGCTTCTTTATTATTCACTGCCATGTTTAAACAACATTTTAAAACAGAAATACCTTGAACACTTCTCCTTATTAGTACAGGCAGTTTTCATTCTATTAAAAACCAAGATACTGCCTTCAGAAATAGATATAGCACAAGAGCTCCTATTCTTATTTGTAAAACAAGCGAACGAATATTACGGTCCCGAAGCAATGACTTTTAACATGCATACAATGTTGCACTTACCTGTTTGTGTAAAAAAAAACAGGCCCACTTTGGTGTAACAGCACTTTCCCTTTTGAGTCAGGAATTTTTCATATTAAAAAGCAAATCAAAGGACCTAAAGGAATTGGAAAGCAAATTGCTAAGAAATTATATAATTTTAATACATTTGTGCCTCGTATTCAAAGTAATAACGTTATTAATGAAAATTCTGTTATATTCTGTAATAATCTAATTGTGGGCCACAAAAGGCATTACAAAAGAAAGACTGTTGCAGGTGAAAGCATTTTGTTAGGAAAAGCGTCTCTTATAAATGCCAGTGAAATGATAACGAAATTAAAATTTTTAAGAACTAACAATTTCGAAGATCTTCATAGCCTGAAAACTGATGTACCTGAAAATGGTTTTATTTACAAGAGATGTGTGTATAATAACACTATGCTTCATAGCAATGATTACATGAATGTATCGAAAAAATGTAACGCTGTTATAAAAACAAAATGCCAAGATTTTGTTGAGATTTTAGAATTTATCCTTTACAAGGAAAAAGCATTTATGCTAGTTAAAAAATTACACACACAACCATACATTTGTGGGCAAGTTACACTAAATCATATGTTTTATGTTAAAGAGAGTACCTATGAATTACTACTAATATCTATGTCTGACTACGAATCTAAATGTATTTTTATTGATACTGGTAAAACAAAAGTTATTTGTGAATTCCCAAATGTAGTAGAAATTCAATAAATTTGATCGTTACTATATATGGCCAATTTCAACTCCTAACTCATCTACTAGGACTACAGCATTTTCAGTGATAAAGGTATTAGGCACAACAATTTCTAGAAATGATAAAAAGGTGTATTAGTACTAAAGATAAAAAAATCATATTTAACATACCCATATTTGCATCCTGCACATGCTCTTCTACTACTTGAGGTTCCTCAGGTGACAATCTATGCTGAGGGTTGCTCTGACTATTTAATTTTTTGGATTTTGACGCCCTTGGTGGTCTAATGAGGTCCTGAATTTTATCACGAACGTGTTTATGGACACAGTTTCTGATAATTTTTAGATCAGGGGTATCGCCTCTTTGAAACATTCTGAATTGGAGTATATCTACGGAGTGACATTCCTAAACATGTATTCAAATGATTAATCTACATATTAACCAATTACCTTCAATTGCAAGAAGTTTGGTGGGGTCTAATGCAGGCTTGGCAGGATTTGAGGTCTTATTACCAGGTTGACCAGTCACTGATGATTTAGATAATACGTCTGGCGAAAATAAGGAACACGCAATCTCTTTGATAAAGATAGAATCTTTTTTTTTTGCCATACACATATTAAAAATGGCTACAGGTAACCATTCTCCTCGTCCAATGTGAATCTTTAACAATTAGTTTTTATAAAATTGTCATAAGTATATGAGAAACACTTTTACTTGGCCATCATATAGTCCGGCCACTGGAACATCATCGGGGATCGGTTTGGAAGTTTCTTGGCTGTCCATAGTTACCATTGGTGGAATCGGATTTTGCATGAAGTCTATATAATGACAGATTACTTTATCTTGGTGAAGATGTTTCACATTCTTACCTATACTTTTAAATTTTGCTATCACCTCTTCTTGTAAGTTAATATTTAGCTCCTTTAACTTTTGGACTTCTTCCGTTAATGCTTTGTTTTCTTTTTTTAATTCTTCATATTTTTCTTTCCAATTTTTACTTTCCATAGTATTTGGCAGATCCATGGGCATTTCTTGATTTGACACAGACTTCATTATTTTGTGATAATTTTCTAATTGGTATGCTCTCTCCTGACTCTTCTTTTGTTTTTTTGTGGAATTTCGTTCCATCTGAATAAAGTAACAGGTGATCAAAAAAGGAATGACATTGAAGTCGCCTTTGGTAGTTCAAGTTAAGTATGATTTCCCATGTAAACAAAAATTCCAAAGGCGACGCGACTGCAACTCATATTTGATCGCATTGTATTATATCGTATATTATATAATTTAAAAAAAAACATAAACGACTCTTTGGCAATGTGAATGTAGTAAAGCATGGTGTAACAACATTAGTAATTTGAGACTACGTTCATATTTCCAGAGACTGTTTGATGCTTTCTTGTAATGTTCAATATTTATTTTCTATATTGTGTAATAATACTATTGCTCGCACTGTATTAAGAGGAATATTTTCATTGTCCGATGAACTAATCTCATCGTTTGCAACATTTAACTCCCTCAGTTTGGCAGCAGGCAAACGAATACGCTTCTCCTCGGCTTTCATTTTGACCTCTTCCATTGTTTCTAAACAAATACCTTCATACTAACAACAAAACCAATCAAGCTTTTATGGAACTTACCCGCTACTGCGATGATAAAAGCCTTATAAAAATGACCATCGGTATATTTTACTTTGTACGTTTTTGCCGAATTATAGTTTTCGTAAGTTGAATTTTTAAATTTTATGTCATTAATAGACACGACAAGTGGCACATTGTCTTCTTCGAAGATGACATATGCATACATCTTCTAATATTGTTTAAACTCGAAGCGTCACTGAAAAACAGAAACAGAAAAAATAGTACTATGAGCCCTATTCTGTACAATTATGTTTCATTAATGGGGTCGTATAACTCTTAAGCAGGAATCGGAGGAATGCTCAAGATACAATATCGATATTGTTTTATTAATTGTTTGTCACATTCCCCCTAGAAAATACTAGACTTGTATTTACTCGAAAATCTTTTGCCACATAAAATGACCTACTGGCATTATATACATTATTGTTTCATAAATAAATAATAGGAATAATAAGAAATGCCATACCTAACCTATAAAGTTGTAGGTATAGGTTGTACATAATCAACACAACAAATACGACCATTGTAATTAAAAATAACACAAAAATTATATCACTTACCTACAGTTTAGGTATTTGTCTTCGTAAACCGAAATCGTTAAAATAGAAACTTGGAAATAAAAATACACGCAAAGAATTCGTGGTTATGGTTACGTCTCGTCTTGCGTATGCGAAATGCGAATGCGCGGTAGATACCTACACAAATTCCCCAATTGAAAACTACAAAAAACGCTGCTATTTCTCCATCAAATCATAACCACTCAAATCCAACAGGTAAGGTAATAGAAGCAATAACACACCATTAGGAGACAACTAATACCAAAACGGTGCTTGTTTCTATTGAAAATTCACAATATAAATCGTAACATTTACATTGGGAATTCCCAACAATTAATTTTCACAATGGAAAACTTGTTTATTCCCTCTCAAATACAATAATATTGGAAAAACACGTTAGAAGCCAACAGATACAAAAACGATTGTGCATCTTGTTGGAAAGTCCCAATAGAAATTCAAACGTTTCTATTGTGTAACCACAATAGTTTTTTTTTACAATTCGAATCACCCATTTACAATAACGGCCAATGCTATTGGATTTACGCTATAGTAGCCAACAAAACTAAGATCGTTCTCCAGACCGTTTCCAATTCTGCCAATATAAACCAATAAGACACAATAGAATTTTTATTGGAACGGATTGTTTTCTATGAAACATTTGCAACAGGGTATTATTTATGATAAACAATGAGGAATATAAATTTGAAATTCCTGTAAAGAACCAATTTTTGGCGTTCACTTTAAAGAGTAAATGCAACTTTTTGTAAAGTAGAAGTTATATGGCTAGTTCATCATCTTCGCTATCGCTAGATGACAACAAAAAACTCCAACGCAAGAAACAAATTCAAATTGGCGCACTTTTATTTTGAAAATTTGCTCCACGAGCTCTCCGACCTCGTGCGTCAAAATTTGCATTTAGTGCGTAATTGTTGCATCACATTTGCCAATGGAACACAGAAAATTACCCTAAAATTACCAATGGAACGTAAAAATTGCACTCGTGCAGCACGAGTTTTGCCAATCGAAAACGCTATAAACAAGTACCCGCTTAAATTTGAAAAGTGGCACGTGATAAAACATCTAAGGCAGGGCCCCCTTACGTTAGTTGTAGACAACGCTTTGACCTGAAGCACAGTAGGGAAGGAACTTTAAATAAAACACTGAAATTGTGAGAAGTTTGTTTAATAATGATCGTAATTATTATGATTGTGAAAACCCGGAAATTTAGTTGATGTACATTAATATAAACAAAACAAACAAAGCCAAAAGGTGTCGTACTCTCGCAAAAGTCACTGCCAAGGATAAAAAGAGTACGACATAAGAAAAACCTTGCAGTTTGATTAAAATAGTCCAAAAGTTAATTAACAAAATATTTTGTAAAAGTTTTAAGCAGTAGTTAACAAAGATAGTAAATGCATATACACAATGTTGGTTACACTCAAGGTTAAAGCAAGTTTTTGGGGACAATGGGTCAGGTAGAAGCAGGTACCAAGATTCTGAGAAAGGGTTAAAAGTACAGGATGTGACTCATCTTTGGTGCAATAAAGTCCTTTTGTTGAGAGCAAGATGGAAAATTACATGGCCTTGTAGGCAAATTTGACTAAAAACAAAATATGTGGAAATTATTGAATCGCCACTCATTTAACGCACATAGATTCTAAACTGAAGAGCTTTGATTAGCGTAATCTCGCTCCTGCAAGATGGGTAGTCCGCCCCTGGTTTCGGGGTTTCGAACCTACAGTTGGATGTCGAAGACAGTGCACGGAATTAGGTGCCCTAACACATAATTATAGACTACAGTTTCTTTTTCCACCTTCCCGAGACTGCTTCATTCACGGAGAAAATTGTTAGTAACATACAACAAGTCAGTACATACATTAAACGAATCGGTAATTTCCACATATTAAAATAAAATGATCAAAACTTATATGAATGTAACGTCAGGGACAAGACCAAGTAATCAACATCAATAAACATAAATTAAGCAAACATTACACCAAAAACGTAAACAATTACAAACAATAGCATAACGGTATCACACATATGATTGCATTGCGGTTAAACCAAGTAAATTTCAAAAACAAATATTCAAACACACAAAAATATAAAATGCGGCAAACAAAACACAAATACGATAAAAGAAATGCAAAAATCACTACCTGCATTAAATAACACAAAATAACAACAAACATTTATGGAGCGACGCGTTCACTACCGCTATTCTAGACAAGATGCCAAACGGAACTCCCGTACGTGCTTACTAGCTGGCGCAAGCAGCTTTTTTTTTCCCACCTAGAAATTGCATGGTTGCCAACTGTCAAAAATGTATGTATCGTCGTAAGTTGTATATACAGGGTGGAACCTCTCACACCCAAAATTAAAAACAAATTTTGGGAACAATAGGGCAGGTAAGCAGGTACCTAAATTCTGAGAAACGATGAAGGGTACACGATGTGACCCATCTTTGGTGCAATAAAGTCTTTTGTTAGAAACAAGATCAAAAATCGCATGGCCTTGTAGGCAAATTCAACTATCCGCAAAAATATGTGGAAATTAGCGAATCGTAACTCATTTATCGCACATAGATTCTAAACTGAAAAGTTTTGACTAGCATAATCTCGCTCCCGCCAAATAGATAACTCGCCCCGCGTTCGGGGTTTCGAGCCTACAGTTGAATGTTGAAGGCAATCACGGAATTAGGTGTCGTAGCTCAATTTGATTACAGTTTTTTGCCACCCCCTGACTGCTTCATTCACGGAGTTATTAGTTACAAACAAGAAGTCAGTACACACACACACACAACTCGGTAATTTCCACATATTACAATAGAATGATCAAAATGTATATGAATGTAACTTCGGAGACAAGACCATGATCAAGTAATTAAAAAAGATAAACATAAATTAAGCAAGCATTACACCAAAAACGTAAACGATGGCAAACAAAAGAATAACGGTATCAAATATGTGATTCTGCATTAAGGTTAAATCATGTAAATTTCAAAAACAACGATTAATATACACCAAAAATATGAAATGCTGCATACAAAACAGAAATACGATATAAAGAAATGCAAAAATTACTACCTGCATTAAATAACACAAAAATAATCATATGCCAGTTGGGATCATTGCGCTAAGGACAAAGGATAGCGTTATCGAAGAATTACACAAATCAGTAAGAGAGGCATTTAGTACATGAGACCCCATACTGCATTTGGAGGTGCGAATGCGCTATAGTATCACGCCAGGAGTTTGATCGTTGTTTTTAAGTATACTCGTACATAGCCCATATCATATGTATACATTTAAGAAAAATTCCCTGTATGTTTGCATTTTCTTTTCTCGTAAAACTTATAGGGGAACGGAAACTACTCCTGGCATCGGGGAGGAGGGGGGTTGTATTAAACAATTTTCCTTCCCCCAGTTATTCACATTGAAATTTGGGATGAATTTTCTTTTAAAACTTAGGGGTAACTGTATACATATATTTGTTGAAACGTTGCATATCAGATTATGCATTTAGGGAGTAGTGTATAGTGTACATACATAATAATATAATAATAAATAATGGGCCGGTCTGGCTTGAATTACAAAAAGCAGTTTACTTTGTGAACAGCTAGGTCTTTGAAAAATCTAGAATAATCCCAAAACTGTTACGTTTAGACTTATAGTCTCTCTGCATCTGACGTAAATTTTTTAAAATGTTAAAAAACGTCGTTTTCCGCTTGAAAAATGGGTATAGCCGCCCCTATTCATTCTGGTATAGGCAACTGTGAGTTGCGGGGTGTGTCCTCTTAGATAAATGGAAGGAAATGTTTAATGCAAACAACAGTTAAATATTAAATCCCGAGTTAGGTAAAGCCATTTAGGAAGTAAATTGATATTTCGGCCGAGGACCGGCAGTTTGTGCGAAAAAAATTCTCATGTAAGTATCTACCTACACACGGAATAAACTGAATATCCTGTCCATTAACATTTTGCATAAAAAGAAAGTTTTTTTATAATTTACGAACTTTGGCATTTTGCATTGCACAGAAAATGCACACCCAATGGCGACCCAACCTAAGAAACCGAGACGGTAGTCGGTAGGTGTAAGAATTAAATTGAATCTTATTATGTTGTTAAGAAATGAATTTGTTTCCCATTTTACTGCGAGTAGTTTCTTGAAAAGACAGGTTTTTACTTGGTTTTTCACAAGTTCTAGTTGATAGGTACAATGCCGCATGCGCAACGGGCAGTACATTCACATTCCAGTCAGTTGAAGCGAGGAATCCGGTTTCCTTTGCATTTACCGTAAACGCGTGCTTGATGCAACAGGTTGCTCTATTATAAGTGCCGGTATACAACGCTATTTTATTTCTCATTTGAATTGTTATTTGCTCGCGCTCTGCCAAATGTTATTAGTGTAGAAGTGTTACAATACTTTATTTCTGGTGTTTTTATGTGCATGAATTTTGGATTCGGTGTTAGTAGATACCTATTCCTCCACATCACGTGTGTTACCGGTAACATATTGTGTTTTTCTTGAATGAAGAGTTCACAAATGCATTGCAATTTTTTTAACATCCGATTCTAAGTAAGTGTATCGAGTTTTAAGTTCATCTACAGACAATTTTGTGAGTGAAAATTTAAAAGCCATTAACACCGGTAGCTTTTCTTTGATCATGGAAACCTTCGCTGTTGATAAGGATTTTTACGACATCGATTCAGCCGATGATTTGAAAGAGTTATGGGATTCTGAATTAGACCCGGTGAGTCACGTGCATTTACTATTTACACTTTACACACATAATTAACATTTTCTTGGAAATGGGAGAAACCATCTTTCGATTGCGATCGCATTATTATTGTATACCTACATGGATTTCAGATATAAAAATTTAGCTGGCTGGCCTTGCAGTTAATACATTGTTCGAATTATCCTAGCGGGAAACAATTGTTATCAAATATTCCATGGGTAATATCGGCACAAATGTTGGTGTTCAAGGTTGTACAAACTCCCATTGTTACATATACCTACCTACATGATCATAATGGAAAATAAAATTTAATTTACCACATTCGAATTTGCTTTCTGTTTTGTTTTAATGTGAATCGAATTGCTAATTAATAGTCCTGATGTACTTCTGAAATACGTCGTTGCATTAAAGTAGGTCTTGAATCGGTATTAGCTTTAAATAGTGCCTTATTTATTGATTTCTAATCACGAACATTTATTTTATGTCAAAATACCCCTGAAACTACCCGGCAATTACGAACACCCATAAAACATTCAACGCCGCCGATGTTATCGACGATTCTTAAATAAAGTTTGCCAATTACCTACCACCTACCATTTAAATAGACGAAAAGCTATTTAAAGATTGCCTTTTAGTTTAATAAAAAAAGAGTTCCATCAGAGTAATTGCGTCAAGGCTTAAATAAGGCCATCGCATTATAAACAAATTGTGGAATTTCAGCAAATATGCCTTAAAGCCTGTATTAGACGGTAACATTTCTTACAATATATTTGTTACCAAATTTATAAACAAATGAATTATGACCGTCTAAAACAGAAATTAATAGCTTTCATATCAAAATGTATACAAAATGTGATGAAAAATAGAACTTGTTCTATTCCCATACAAATTTTGGTAATATTTCAGATGTGAGCATGCGTATT